ATGTCTGATAATATTGTAAAAAATATTTTTACGGCTGTTTTTATATCAATGCCGTATGACGAGGTTCTACGAAGAAGCTGTGGTTTGTTCTATTTGCAACGTAGATTCACTATGTTTTGTTCAATATATCACTTTGACTCACGTATACTTGAATGCAATTTACGTTTTTTCTTCTGCTTTAGAACTTTCCAGATGGAATTGTTGGAAATTGTCATACAAGTGAGAGGATTACTCGATTCATCGATTTTCCGTCAAATGCATCTGTGCAAACTTGAGATGACATTTACTTTCCTTTAGTTCAATCATGGTAAGTGTTTCATATATAACAAATTTTCCTCCTTTCAAATACATTTTGGACTAAAGATTTTTTGTAATGCCTTGAAGTTTAGATTTAGATTATTTCATATTCTAAGTCATCTGTACGATTCACTGAATTATATACAAATTGCAAATAAATGGGAGGAGATGCCGAAAATATACATGTATGCGCAGATCTTTCGGTAAAGAAAAAAAATTTCCAAAAACTTTTTGTAATCTCAATTTGTATAAAGAGGTTTCTGGATTTTGTACTAGCATATATATGTACCACGATTTTAAAAAAAGATTTCTAAATTTCGAGACATGACACAACGCGGCTTCAGCACAGTGTGTGGTTTTTACCTTGTTATTTTAATATCGAGAGTCATGCTTATTAAAAACTTAATAATATCAAAATCTCGGATGCTTTGCTTATTTGCATAGCGGCCATATTGCCATATCATGGTGACAGCCATTACAATAGGGTTAGACATACCCCTAAAATAAAAATGCAAATATGCCAATTCCTAAGTCGTATCAACAATTTGTCCGCAAAGAGGTAAATTGTAAATTGTACATTGTTTTTTGTCTTGTGTTCGTGTACAAATTAACATTTTCTACTTTGAGAACTTTCGTCCTTTTTAGTTTGAAAATCAGAAGCGTAACCGTAGTATAATTGCCTTATTAAATAAAGAAAAATAGTAGAAAAAGGTTCAAAAATTGAAATTAAGATACAAGAAGATATTGTTCATGATTTGTCGCATATATAGAAAAACACCTTGCATGTTTTTAAGTTTTATCGCATCTGCTTTTTTATGTTTTCGGCCAAATTCTTTTCAAAACTTGATATTTATTCTGCATTGTTTCGAATGAACGACGTAGTAACATCACGTTTCACTCATTTTTCTATTAAATATTGTCCATATTTTAAATATGACACTGTGTATCGACAATTGCCAAAATAGGACATTTATTTATTAATAATTTTAGATTTATTATATCTCGGTAAGTTAATTCAAATCCATAAAGCAATATTTGAGAACAGGTAACAAAAATATGTTTACTTTAGTGAACCACATGGTTAGTAATGGTATAGAAATATGGCTACCAGGACGTTGCATAACTCCAACTGCGAGACTGTCTGTCTGATACCAAAGGGTGTTTGTCGGTCTGTCTGTCTGTCTGTCACATCTGCTATGAAGGGATGTATAAACAGGTAGTCTGTTTACTTGAGAATTACGATAACTCAATATATTGTCAAATTAAAAAATATATATATATAAATTATGATATTTATGTTACATGTTATCGTTTTCAGAAACGTGTCTATCCATAATAAAAACGTCACCGTTTTTAAAATGGCTTTCAAAAGTAAACGTTCTTTTGACTCGTTCAACAAATCTCATCACATTACTATGCAACCTATAATCTCCTTGAATAAGCAATGAGATATATGGTGAAAAGTATAGTGAAAGAGCATAGTGAACGTTTACTCAACAAGCATAGTGATTCTCTAATAAATCTTCTTAAAGGGGCACTAGATACTAGATATATAAAAATCTAAAATACGATTTTTTTTTGGTTAAATCATTAATAAAAGTGAAATAGTGAAATAATAATTCGCTTTTAGCAGCCAGTATGGTTCAATTTTGTCAAAATAAGCTAAGAAACAGTGATGATGAATTATTCACTTGCAAGTGAATAATTCGACCCCATTGAATCCGTATTCATGTGAACTTCAATTTAACCCCTTAGGTAGAGATGGATAATGCATGAATTGTGCGTGTTGAGTTATTTTAAGGAAAAGAATGTCAACATTGAAAGTGAAACAAAGTTAAATCATTTGATTGACTGATTCGATCCACAAAAAAATCATTATTATACAGGTACAAACGATGATTAGCATATATTTTTAATCTATAATATGAAATAAAACAGACCTAGAAAAATACAATTGCACGAGTTCCCAATCTATTTATATCTATATTTATGTTTATATCGCTTATATGACCATCGGAGGTCTTCGGATGTCAACTCGATAGTTAATTAGATGGCGTCTAGACTAAAATACACACGAAACGAAGCTACATATTATCGAGCCCATGTCCTGTAAATTGTTTATTTTATACTTTTTATAATTTGGATAAATGTTTTACATTGTTATTAATCAAATCTGTGAATTTGTGTCAAATCGGTGAACATCAATTTGACAGCTAGTGCCCCTTTAACGTTTTGGTTAAATGATAACCGATTTTACAGAAAAATATGAACAAAAGGAACCTTTAGCAAACGTAATATAAAATTACCTTACTGTTTTATGATTGCTAATCTTTGCAGATTCAATAGTTATCTGTCAAAGAAAATAATAAAAGAAAAGCTAGTAAAATGATTAAAACTACAGGTATACAGCAATAAGTAAATACACATATTGTAAAACACTTTACCTGACCTGTCTTGTATAAAGTTATAATGTGATTGTTTTGTAATGTTACGAAAACAATATAACACCGTATCACGAAAAAGCCTGCGATGGCACTGTTGCAATTACTTTTATTAATTACTGCTTTGTAGTATAGATTTTGTTAAAGAAATCATTTTTTCATACCATATGCTGTATGCTCATTTTAACATGGGTAGGCATTATATTTGTCAATTTCTTTTAATATTCCGAGCGTTAATAGCGAGGTGTAAAATGTTGACAATATAATGCCTACCCAATGGCATTTTAAAATTAGCAACGAGCATGGCACGATAGAATGATTTTGATTCAAATAGAGAAATTTAGAACTTTCGTACTTCGAAGTGGACCTATAATACACGTTCGAAAGGTCATACTATGAAGGGCCGTTCGGATCATAATTCATTTTGTTGCACGTACGCTAGAGGTACGCGTAACAGGTCGTTCACGTACCCTAAAGGTACACGTAACACTTTGTTCACGTACCCTAGAGGTACACGTAACATTTTGTTCACGTTCCTGGAGATGCGCTTAATGTTCACGTACACTTTACCATGGAGGTACGCGTAATTGTTTGTTTGTGCAGCTAACCGCAACAGAAAACCTGTCATCCCTTTCCCTGAATAATGGATTATCTGTGTCAACAACATTACATTATCCAATCAAATTCCGCAAAATCAACCGATCATTAAAGTTCAAAACTGTATTATTCACAGAAAAAAAATGACTAATGATAGCTTTTCTTCACTTACGGGATCTGCAATCAAAACCTCTCTAACGCAGGTATAAAATTTCGTTTTACATTATTTAAAAATGTACTTGCGACCTCCATTTAAAATGTTGTAAACAAGGCCTGATTTAATTGGTCAATTAGTATTCTCCAGCAGACGAGTTCATTGTGCATAGGGTATAAAGGTTATTCCGCATACGTGAACAAACAGTTACGTGTACCTCTAGGGTACGTGAACAAATAGTTACGCGTAACTCTAGGGTACGTGAATAAAGTGTTACGTGTACCTCTAGTCATATTAGAACTGTTGATTTTTTTTAAGTGGAATAGGGAGAAAAGAAAGATATGGCTTTTAATTAACTGTAATGTTTTATGTTTGTAGGTGTATTCTGACAACTGTCAGACACAAACAAGAGAATTATTTTGTAACCAGTATCACTGTTCGTTTGTGAAGATCCTGGACACTATTCATCCTTGCCAATTTAAGATCGATAGACACTTATTTGAATTGGTGCGTTACTAACCTATAGTAGAATGCAAAAATGCTTTAACATTCATTGTGATTTGATAACTCCACAATTAAATGTCAAGTCTTCAATTCTACGATAGATCGATTGTAAATGTATGATTTCACACTGTTTTTTTTTTTCAGTTAAAAAAGATCTGAAATATTATAAGTTATGTTATCCGCCAACATGTCGCGAATTAACACAATTTATTGACCATCAAATGGACAATGGATGCCCGAAAATCTCTTTCTACAAAACTGTTTTCTCTTTACTACTGTATTGTATTGTTATATAACATTTATTCTAAAGCGATTATGTTGTATCAATGTTTCTGATTGGATGACAATAAGCGTAAAATTCTCTATCCCCTGTCTGTAACTAAGGAAGCCGACATTTTGAATTTCGGAATGTATTGACATGTAGTTTCTCCAATAATAAGCAAAAAACTCACACTTTAGAGAGCATTTACAGATCTGGTTGGGAAAACGCCAGTAATAGTCTACAAAAATGTCAAAGATCATTAGCATATAAACACAGCTAACAACGAACAATTGGGAACTGGAAAATAACTCAAATTCCTATATTTAACGCATGATATTAGGCAATTCATGAAAATGGCAAATTGGACACGTAGCAAACCAACATTTGTTAACAGCAAGTAAAAGTAAAAACAAGAATAAATGATTAAAGTATAGTTTATCAAAACCTTTTAACTGTTTTTTTTTTATACTTCCAGTGTACAGCAATGAATTCATTAAATCAAGATTTCGTGAGTAGGTGTTTAACAAGTAAGGTCTAGGTTAAAAATCAATTCATGTAAGTATTAAAGTATTTATATGTATAAATGGATATTTCCAAAGTAAGTATAAGTATTTGTATATTCAGATGCTTTTTCGTTTTTAGATGCTTCTTTATTTCAGATGGAAGGTAAGTTTGCTTGGTATGATAGTAGCGAATTTGTTGCTTATATTGCTTCCATAGCATACATGCATCATGCAGTTTATCAGTACGGTTGAATATTCGTTTATGATAAAATAAAACAAAGAAGTCTTTTACTCGGAATTTTTTTCTGCTCCATCGTTTTTATTCATTTTTAATGTAAATGTTCAAATACTTAAAAAAAACAATATGTGGGGAAAACAATTGCTCAATTCATCGTGTAGGAATTCAATGCATTCATGATATTAGTAGTATTTTAAAAGTGCAGAGCAACATATGTTTTGCGTTGTTGGTTTACATCGTTACCAATATATACGTGCCATCTTTTAAATTTCGGTGAACTACCAATAAAATTATACAAAACTATCAACCAATCACGTAACCTCTTTTTTTAATTTTGGTGAACTACCGATGAAATTAATCAAAATCATCAACCAATCACGTACCCTCTTTTAAATTTTGGTATACCAACAATGAAATTATTCAACAATCAAGACTTAATGGTTTCTTATCTGATTCAGTCAAATGTTGGTATTTTAAGGGTTTACTTTGTGGAAGTATTTATAAAAATTGCTATCATCTGTGGAACTTCAAAATGCAATACGCTGTTGACGTGTTTATTTTAAGTATTAATTCACATTTATTGATTTTTGTTAATCAATAAAATATATACCAATGTATTTCAGTATAAAGATTTTGCTTTTTCATTTCATTCCCTTTATACAGAAAATACAACTACGGAGGAACCATTAACCACTGATCATACATATTCTAAGGAGATAACAATAACACCGACCACGACCGAAAACCATTTCTCATCGATACGGGCATCCGCACTTTTTACAACGACGACGACACAAAAGACGACTCCGTCTGCTACTCCATCACCCACACCCTGCATTGGTGGGGGATTAAACAGAACTGATGCCAGACTTCACGAAGAATGCGGTGCACACAGTGAAGAAGCTAAATGTATTGTTTCAAACAGTGCATGTACTGAAACATCTATAGCTAGCACTTGGAGATGCCGATGTGTCCAGGGATATGCAAAGAAGAATGATTCATGTCTGCAATGTAAGTATTCATCCTATTTATCTTATGACCATATCATATGATTTTTACGAAATATTCGTTTTTATACAGAAACCGTGCTATAAGCGAAGTCAAAATAGAAGTGATCGTAAAAACAAATTGTTGTGACATTGTTACGTGTTTCCGAGTTTTATCTATGGCGTTGTAAAAGAATGAATATTCCCGGAAATAGTATTGCGTCCACTTCAGTTACATATCATTTGATTTTGGTACCAAACTTTTTCATTTGAAACAGTTGCAGGATAAAGAGAACCACCATACACTGTCCCAAAACATAAATTTTATTTGTAATCCTCTTTAAACAAGATTGAAAAGCCTCGCATTCAATCTGAAAAACTTGGCAAACTTGGCGAACAACATGCTGTAAACATTTAAATTGTCATATGATACCAAATATCACAAAATAAGTATAAAAATTTAACTATAACAGGAAAAAACATTGTTTATACGATATAATTTTGTTTTAAATACATATAATTACATTACATGTATGTTTCATTATAATACGATATTTCGATTGGCTAAGAGCGATCTCGCGTCATTCTGAAATTAACATTTATTTCAAAATGAAATGTAACATTCATGATGACGTGAGCTTCCACAATAAAATGCACAGGTAAATAAAAGAAAAACTTGATAGAAATCTTGTTTTCATGATCCTAGCAAAAACATGTAATAATAAGTATTGAATACTTCTTTTAGTAATTTTATAGGGTTGTAGAAGGGTCGACAGTGCGCACATTTTTAGAATGAAGCGCTTCCGTGCTTAATACAAAATGTACTTCGGTCAACGCTTTTACACCCCAAAAAAAATACAAAAAGAAGCATTTAATTCTTAAATAAAACAATTTTGATTATATAAATAGCATCTTGTGATTATTTTAATCTGTTTCCTGGATATTACAGATATTCTCTAATAGCCAGTATTAAGTCTGTGTTGATTACCTTTGTCGACGAAACTGAATCCTAACGCACAAAAGTCATCATATCTTCTTATTTGTTCAATATAGTGTTATTATGGTGTGCTTGTTCATGTGAGCATTTCTCATATTAATACACCGTCAAAATTTCATGTTTGGTTAAATTTCTTCAAAATACTGGTCTGGTCATCTGTTTTGTATATTGCCCTTTCATACTATTTTAAACTGCTAGGTTTTCTTACATATATTTCGATGTGCCCCGTGCTGTCTATCATTTGTTGTTTAGTTTTATATGTATTGTCTATCATTTGTTGTATCAAAATTATTGGTCTTTTGTTGGGCAATGTATGAAAAATATATGTTGAAAAACCTCGCCCGTAATTATAAATTGTGTAATTCATTGACCGCTCCCGACATTTGTAACTTCAAGGCATATTTTAGTGGCGATCGATGTCTTTCAAAATTACTGCACTTTTCTTGTATCCCTGGTGCTTTCGACTGGAGAACCGTCGTACACAAACATCGCACAAGTTGGCACTCCGAGGCGGGTGGGGAGCAAGAAGGTGAACTGTGGTTTATTTTCTATCAATAGTACCGCTTAAGTCGACGCTAGGGGCCGTCTTGACCTTGTTGTAGGGTATGAATGATTCGTTCATTGTTGAAGACCCTACATCAACTGCCAAGATGAAGAACAGGAATAAAAGCCCTGTTCATTGATAAATTATTTATTTTTACTATGTATTGTGTGCGATTTTGTCCCATGTACATTTACTCCATATCCTTTCATTTTCTATTATCCCAGTTAATAATTAAGTTGTACGGTTGCTATACATATAATATCGTTGCTAACCTATTGTGGACAATTGTCTTATATCACATGTATATGGTGATAATACAGATGAAATATGAAAAAAATAACCATGTACAACTTGCATATTTCTGATTCTGGATATTAAGATAAAAAGCATAGTCATATCTGAAATCAATGTGTCTTTAAGTAAACCCCTTCATTAGGAAATAACGATTTTAGTCAAAGTTTGAAAACAATGTAACATATAGACATACAAAATAGGGAGGTACAAAACATGGCTGAAGAAGAACAAACAAAAATTGTCTACAATAACATAAATGGATGGATGTAAATCCTCAGTTTAATTTATAATAATGAAAATATTTTATAAATCTACATATTTAAGAATTAGTTTTAGAAAGGATAAAAGTGAAAATATGTGTAACAACAAAAGAAAGCATGGCTGCATTTCAAAGCAAAAAATATTGAAGTAAATTATCATCTTCTTTTATTGATATATGAGGTTAGTTATCAACGAAAACAATATTTTACTTAGCAGATTTATAGTATTGAAGGAGCTATCCGAATAAGACGTTGTCCGATTGTTTGGGTAAAATGAATTTTTATAATTGGGTACGTTTCAATTTTATTGGACAATTATGACAGATTAAAACACTTTACTTATACGTGTTGTTCGTTGTAGTGCCTACTAAATTATTCCGCCAAGAGTTTGAAAAAGTGCTCATAAATCTTCCTGAAAGCAGTCCAATAGGCCATCAAGGTAAGTCATTTAAGTATAATTAACAGTCACTCTTGCTGTTTTGTAAGAACAAAACTAGGGCATAAGACTAAAACAGATATTTCTATCTCCAATGGCCAGTGTATGGAACCAGGCCAAGGGATCCATAATTTAGATTAAGAAAAAAATAATATTATCTTGTATCTCGCTTTTTGTTTTAGTAATTTGTTTTCAAGCAAGTGTTATTGTATTTGGTATGTACATGAGTGTATGGTTGTATGTATGTGTGCATTTTATCTAAATGTTTGAGTTTGCCTTCTTTAGTTTAAAATGAACTATCGGGGAATAAAATATTCATAACTTCTTTATCATTTGGTAATTTTGTAATTTTGTGTGCGGGTCTTGGGGAGGGGAGATGTGTTCATAACTATATTCTTAAATTTCTGGGCCTTTTTCTCTATTTGTATTTTTTTAATTCTCTATTCTTTATTTTTTGTCCTTTATTCTCTATATATTGTTCATTATTATCTTCACTGTCAACCAGATCTAGATCACATTGTATTGGCGATCACGTAGATATTTCAGTAACCTTGCCTGGCGTGGATGAAATGTTAACAAACATTATCTTTACATGTATATATACCTCCTATACAGGAATACTAGGAATATCATTGGTGAAAAGCGACCGCGTGGAGACCCTGTATGTTTAATATGGGGTTACTAGGTGTGGATTTTTTTGATACCCGGTTAGTAGAAGTCACTTTATAAAAATAACACGGCGTTGAGGAAAAATCTAAAACGTTTAAGCCGGACAACAGTCGAAGAAATTGACGATGACATCAGACCACAATTATTCTTCCCATTGGTTACAATGCATTTCTTTTTAAAAGTCAAAATGAATTAAAAAATTTGCAGCGCTTCAAACATGAAATAAATTTAACTGGTCACACCATTATTATTCTAATACAAAATGCTTGTCCCATGAAAATCCATCAGTGATTTTTCTTTTGAGAGCCCTATTAGCATGTCAATGGTAGAATTTGGAATCTTGAGTAAATGCCGACGGCTTATTTCTACCCTACTTTCATTTTGGCCAAATCATTGCTTTCACTTTCAACAGTAAATTTTTCAAACATGTTTTACTTGTTTCAATGTATATATATATATGCAAATGATAGGACCACTTAAATAGTAAACTTTTCAAAGAAATCAGTAGTCAGAATAGTCTGGAAGAAATAACCCATATAATACTTGGGAACTATATTCCTAGACCACGAACAAAGGGAATTAATTGTAGTCTGAAGCCTGATGAACGATTGAAATAAATGCATAAAACACGTTAAAAGCTAACAAGTTGTTATTGTTGACATTTGTTTTTGTATAGACCAATGGAAATAGGTTCTTTATATTGAAGACTTGATCACTTTGATAGGCTACTAGTCTAAATGCCACATGTAAAGATAGTCGGTAAAATAAATTCGTTACACAGTGTGTTAGTGGCCTAATGCGATGTGACCTAATACGATATATATGGGGTCATTAAATTCCGTATGGGGTGTTCCCTCTCACCCCATATGTAATTTACTGACCCCATTAATGTTGTGTCTCTAGCACACCGTGTAACTAATAATATGGTTCAACTGCCTGTCAAAATATATTATTTCAATTATATCATGAATCTAACATTGTCTTTTTCAGTTTTAATAGCATACTTTACAGAGGTTGATGGTTTTCATAAAATTACACCAACAGCTGAAATTATGGGACCCGGTTCAGACAGTTTTTCACCAAGCACTGCTAATACAGCGAATGTCGGCATAACAGTGAGCAGCTCAACACTTTCTAAATCAAAATACGACATTTTTGTAGTAGTGTCTGTTACTGTTGACGGTATTGTGATACGTGATTTTATACATGTCGCCATTACCATTACTAGAAACAACACCATTGAGAAAAATGTATTTGTCATTGATGGGACACCGGCGGACAGTGTTGTCGGAATAGTTTGTCAGTCGTGTTTATCCGGGGATGCCGTATCAATTAACCCCGATAATATCATGTCGGTAAACAACGATGGTAGCATACAGACAACAACATATATCCATCTTGATACACTAGGAGGACCCCAAACAATAGCATATTCATCATACATCCAAATTAAACAAAATGGCCATTTACTTGCCAATATAACAATTATTATCGTACGTTTACAGTACACTCATTCATTGACAGAGGACAGTGGCGGAAATACCAGTGTGGGTTTGCTGAAACTGTCAATTCCCTTTTCAGTTAATACGCCAGAATTAGCTTTGAATGACAACTCCTTGATGCTTGGATCCGTGTCACTTGACTATCAGAAAGAACAGGAAGTACACGAAGCTCTTGAGTTATCAGTGAGTGGTGCTGCTTTTGACATACAGATTATCATTAAGGTGCGAGATGTAAATAACAAAGATCCTGTGTTTGTAGGAGCACCGTATCACTTCGTAACTGTACAATCTGCTTATACAGGTGTAATAGTCGGTGCTGTTACTGCTTTCGATCCTGATACGCATGCAAATTTAACTTACGAAATAATTCCAAGTGATAAATTATCGATCAATAACAATGGGGTTATTTCAGTTCATAATATTTTCAATCCGAATACTACTATTCATAATGCAAAAGTTATCGTTAGAGATGGAATAAATAGCGTCAATGAGGATATCGTTATTGATATTCGCCAAGCAACTAATACTGATCAAGAACCCAAGAATTTCAATGGAACAATTGCTGAAAATGAAGGGTCTCTGACAGTTATTGTAACTGTTAATGTACCCGAGTATGAAAGGTATCGATTTGCCGACCAATCAGATAAAAAAGATTTCACTATCGAATCTGAAACGGTGAGTATTTGGGTATGTAATCAAATGAGCTAATTTGTTTTAAAGGGGCATTAGCTGTCAAATTTATGTTTACCGATTTGACTCAAATTCTCACATTTGATTTATAACATGCTTAAACGTATATACAAATTGTAAAACGTCTAAAATAAACAACTTACAATGCATGGGATCGATGATATGTATCAGCATTTCGTGTGTATTTTAGTCGAGACGCCATCTAATTAACTATCAAGGTGACATCCGAACTTCGTATTCCCGACGGTAATATAACCCGATATAAACATAAATATATAGATAGATAGCGAAATAGTGCAATGGGATTTTTCTAGGTCTATTTGATTTCATATTTTAGGTTTAAAATATTTGTTAATCATCGTTTTTGTCTCGCCTTGGCGGCGGCGGCGACAACAGCGGCGTCAACAATGTATTAGTTTGTGATTAGGTCTAGTTCATGGTGAACCACTAGTGGTAGGTCAATGATATTTGGTATGCAGTTGTATTAGCATTGGCACATCTCATTACCATGAAAATTATTTGGCCGCGCCCCCTCAGTCAAGGTCTATCGACTTTTAAACTTTCCTTAATTTACATGTATTAGTTTGTGATTAGGTCAGTTTATTGGGAACCACTAGTGGTAGGTCAGTGATATTTGGTATGCAGTTGTATAAGCATTGGCATATCTCATTTCCATGGAGATTATTTGGCCCCGCTCCCTCATTCATGGTCTATTGAGTTTGAAACTTTTGCTTAGTTTTCATGTATTAGTTTGTGATTAGGTCAGTTTAAGATGAACCACTAATGTAAAGTCAATGATATTTGGTATGCAAATGTATTGGCATTTGCAAGTTTCATTTCCATGGAGATTATATAACCCCACCCCCTAATTATGGTTCATTGACTTTAAAACTTTTACATAGTTTACAAGTTAATGTTTGTGTTTAGGTTTGTTTAAAGGGAACGACTTACGAAAAGACAATGGTATTTGGTTTGCAGTTGTATTAACATTGGCACATCTCATTTCCATGGAGATTGTTTAGCCCTGTACCTTCAGTCATGGTTTATTGACTTTGAATATTTGCATAACTTACATGTTAAAGTATTGCATTTTTAATTTCAACATTTGCATTATCAAAATAACAAATAGGCGAGACATATCTCTGTGTTAACAGTTTATTACCTGTATAAGAACGAGTTTTGTGGATCGAATCAGTCAATCAAATGGTTTACCTTTGTTTCACTTTCAATGTTGACATTATTTTCCTTTTAATAGCTGAACACGTCTAATTCCTGCGTAACCCATTTCTAGCTAAAGGGTTAAATTGAAGGTCACATGAATACGGATTCAATGAGGTCGAATCATTCACTTGCAAGTGAATAATTCATGATCGATGTTTCTTAGCTTATGTTGACAAAGTTGAACCAAACTGGCTGCTAAAAGCGAATTATTATTTCACTATTTCACTTTCATTAATGATTGAACAAAAAAAATCGTATTTTATTATTTGATATCGTTGCTAATGCCCCTTTAATTATAAAGTTTTTTTTTCACACGAGAGCAATTTTCAAATAGTTTTCTTTATCTTTACTGAATGTCAGACAAAAGGTGCAAAAGGGATAATCAAACTCATAAGTCGGACACAAATTGGCAATTCCCTGGCAAAAAACGATAAACGACCAAAAATACAAACAACAGTATACAAAATACAAAATACAAAACTAAAGACTGAGCGACACGAACCCACCAAAAACTGGGGTGATCTCATTTGTATTATTCCCTTTTGTCATACTGCATGTTCTTTCTTTGGGAATCAAACGACAATAAAAGGTTACTTGGAGACATTGAACAAATTATAGATATATGAATTTGTCAAAACTTCATGATCAGTTTTGAAAGAATTCGTCAAATTAATTTATTCATTTGAATTATACAAACCTTGATTTTTCTGCCGTTTACACAAAATGTTACTTAATGTGATCGAATTGTATTAATTACAAGGGAGAACTAATTACTTTCAAGGAGCACGGGTGTTTATCCCCATTTTAATTGAGGTTAATAATAACCCGTCTTTAGTTTCTGTGTAATGGTTTTTGTGTATTATTGGTTTCCCTGTGCGGATTTGGCTATACATTAGGTCCTTTTGGGGTTTGATCAGCTGTTCAACGTTTTCTTAAACGCCCTTCAACGTTTGTGAATGTGTTACATGTGTAACATGGTCTACTTACCCTTTTCTGGCACAGTGACCCGCGATCACCCCCGGTTTTTGGTTGGGTTCGTGTTTTTTCAGTCTTTAGTTTTCTATGTTGTGTTTTGTGTACTGATTTTGTCTTTTGATCTTTTAATCTGGTGCAGTATAATTGATACTGTTAATTTTATTATTAATTCTTTTAATTGCCACTTGCTATTTTCTTATTTTAATTTGTATATTCCTATTTGCTATTTTTTAATTTTTTTTTCATTCTTAGGGAGTAATAAGAAGCGCAAGATCATTTGACAGGGAGAAGGAGCAGGAATTCAAACTTACAATAGTAGCTAACAAAAAAAACGAAGCAACGTGTTCTCTAGCGGTAAGGTATTCGGGTCATCACCAGTTGACAAAAACGTCGCGCTTTTTCATTTTCATTGAAGTAAAAAATATGTTCAAATAGTAAATTTTGTTTCTTTTTTATCCTTTCTCTTTACAGACAATTAAACTTATAAAACAAACAAAAAACCAATGAAACAAGATGGCATGTTGTTTATTCTTTGTGTTACTATTTCACTGTATTTGAATTTACATTTACAATTTATTGAGATTTAAGACTGCAATCATTGTGACATCTTAGAAGATGAGTAACAATTCCTTTTTCAATGTGTTATTCATTGATTTACAATAAGGAAATGACCAATATTGACTTTATACATAAATCAAAATGATTCTCAACTATATAGTATTGGATCTCTTTTCACAAAAGCATCTTACGACAAAAATTGATTGTAAGTTATACCATGGAAGTAATATATTTTACTTCCATGGTTATACTGAAAAAGTATAAAAAAAAATTTGTATGGGATCCAGCAGTCAAAATTGTGTTAACATACATAACAGAAAAATAATACAACAATTAAAAAAGTCATACAAACATACAAAAAATGTTCATGACTTTCTGGTTAGAGTTTTTTTGCAATTACTCGCTTAAACGTGAACTAAAACTTATAGCTTATATGCTAAAATTATATGAATATTTTTCGTCAACTGTAATGTTTGTTTTTACATTCTTTACTTTCAAATGTTTAGACGTGACTGTTTTTGATTACGGTAAATCAAGAAAAGCGCTTCAGATTAACCATTTTATTTTCAATTTACAGGTAATTGGCGTGGTGACAATTTTAATAACTGATGTGAACGATGAATCTCCTATATTTATTGGTGCTCCTTACAACGCTACGGTTGTAGAAGAGGAACCGGGTAAAGAACTGTTGGTAAGATATATATAATTGCGTTAACATTGATAAGAAAGTGGGGACTTTTGCTAACTTTTCGCTATTCATTTTCTGTCTCTTATTAATACCAATTCATTTAGTAGACTCTTATTGTTGTTTTCTCTACACTCAACTCTGGTACTAAAAGTGCCCTAGCAGTGGTATCGATCCCATGCTTAAAAAATGAAAACGTCACTTTATAAATTTGGTGCGCCTGGAGCGCTTTTCTGGATTTACCATCATCTGGAACGCTTAAACTAAAAAAAAGTGAAAGCCAAGGATGCTTAAGTACTGTAAAAGAACGCGAGGAGCTATTTCATCCAAAGGGTTAAAAAATCTCTCCTATCTCAATCATATCTAAGTCAAGCATACTTTTTCGAGTCAAAACCAGCTTAAAATTAATTCCCATTTTGTGATATCGGGACCTTTTATATCAGACTAGTATAAAAAAAGGGGGGTTTTGCGCATTCCTGATGGTCGGACGATGACCTTTAGTTGCTTACATACACGTTATTTTGACTCTTTTTAATAGTTGTCTCATTAGCTATCATATCACATCTGCTTTTTTTATATTCTAATTTATCCAGTTACATATAGTATCTCAAAGTTAATAAGGTTCTGTTATACTTAAACATAGAAATATAACATATTTTGTTGTGTGTTATATCTTTCTGTTTTGCAAATTTTAAAAACAAACTTTGACTGAAAGACAAATTTAAAGTGTAAATTAATATTTGTTCAATCTCCTGCCACAAATACAATTGTCGTATTTATCAAACATGTATCTAACATCCCGTTGCCATTTGGCATCAGTATAATCACTACTCGACAAAAGTCAAACAGAAAAGACCTCGCCGAGTTTTAATGGTGAGAGACTCCGATAAATATTATAGTTTAACTTCGAACTAAAATACTAAAAGTATGAAATTAAGTAATTTAGTCGCAAGTCCAATTCAGATATCAGTCAGCTAACAGAGTTATAACTTTGGAAATGTTTAGATTGTGGAAATTGTCAGTCAATGCCGGCCCAACAGACAACAAATGAGTTTGTAACATTCATTAAGATTAGTCCACCAAGACCATCATCCGTATATTACACAAATATTAAATGACGAAAATCTTATTTCAACGTGAATGTTGAAATTGAAATGGTAGCTGTGATATAGAAAAGTGCACTTTTTGTGCTCTTCATAGTAAAAGAGTTCAACAAAATGTCGCAGCCGACATAATGGCAGTAAATCTACTATATGTTGCAACCCACATATCGGCGGTAAATTCAAAATTGAAAACTGTATTTCGTGTTTACAACTATCCTATGCAAAATATTTATATCAAAAAAGAAAAAAGTCTTAAACGCTTACACTAATTTAAATAAACCATTGTTTGTATTGAACACACACTCATTCGGAATTCTTTATCTTTTAAATGAAAAATGCTAATTTAGACTCGGGTATGGCGTATCAAACGTTGCAATATTCACAAAAAAAAAATATATGTTCATAAAAATAGATAAGTGTTTATAAAATGAAATATATGTTCATGAAAACAAAATATGTATTCAAAAATTTAAAATATGTGTTCATAAAATTAAATATGTATGCATAAAATTAAATATATGTTCCTAAAATGAAATACATATGCCGACACGCCATACTCGGGACGATTTTGATTTTAATTGTTGTACCAATACGTGTCTATTGTTGACAACGTTTGTTGCCTCCTAGATGCCTTTTTGCTATTTGTATTGTTGGATTGCTATCTCATTGATATTTACCCCACAGCTATTTTCACTCAAAAAGAATAATATACAAAAAAAATGTTCAATAATAGTGTTCAAAGAATATGTAATTTTTTTTAATATTGTAGGTTGTTCCTGGCCTGTCAACTACTGATAATGATCTTGACCCGACTGTCATTTATAGCCTTCAAACACATGAAGATAAATTTGTTATTGATCCAACCAAAGGTAAAGTCTTAGAAGTCACATTAAAAGTATAAGAACTATGTGATTAAAGAGAATATTCACCAGATTAACAGTTACATAAGTTTGAGGGCCAAGAACATACTCTACTAATGCGTGACAAATATTTTCGTAATGTGGATTAAGATGTTACTTAAGTGAGGTAAGATTTGATGACAGCCTCATTGTCATACATGTCCAAGAATAATCCAGATGTCGATATCGTTGATGTCGACACGATATCGAATCGATACCGATGAACTTATTCACTCATGACATAACTAGAAGTCGATTTCGATAACGACACCAATGACAAAACCTGATAATGATAATAAAATAAAAAGACGTATCTTGTAATCATTTTTTTCCATTGTATTAAAACAAGAAAATCAAGTGGTCACCTCCAAATTACTGTATTCTTAAAAAAAATTACTGAATTCTTTATTAAAATATCATTTGGTTGTTTAACCAGAATAAACGTGCCAGGTATAAAACTTGACTGACAACATCGAATCGATTTCGATATCTGATGTTGTGTTTGTTGTAACAAAGGTGTATTAAAAGGTGCTTATTGATATCGATACTATATCATCGATGCCGTCGATATTGAAATAACATCGTGTCTTGGACATATCTCTCATTCAGGCATGTGGCGAATTACATTTCAATGTAATGCATTATATTACAATTACTTTGACAAAACCATTGATTAAATTACAATTACAATTACATGCATTTATCAAAGTAATGCATTAAATTACAATTGAATTACACATTACATTTGTAAATTTTTTTATCAAGTGAAAAGAAAACTCGAACATTTTGAGAAACAACATGAAGTCACAAAAGATTCTAGCATATGCAGCAACTGTTCCATGTATTGAATTAAAGTATTCATGTAAAAAGTTTATTCAATACCACTATTGCATTTCAACATCATAAGGGTTTCTAAGGTTTCATGATGAATGATATTTCTGACTATCCGACTGTTTCACAAAACCTATCAAAGTTGATTGCTCACTATCTTTGGTTTAAATGTTTCAAGGTATACTATCTGTGTTTTCTCTAAAAACAAATTACAGAGATGAAGTTGAATACTTATTATAACTTAATGCTAACTTTACATTTGTTTTTTTTTTTAATTTCAATCAAAATATTTACTCAGAATTTCTTTCCTAAATTAGTCTAATTATATAATAAACATAGAGCTTCATTTACGAACAAGAGTCAAAAAGGTGAAAAGATTAATTGTAAAACTGACTAATTAGTGTTTTGTGACAATGTTCAATTATCTGTTATTTAAATACACCAAGGTCTCCATTGATCTTTTGACAACAATGGAACACTTTTACAGTAATACTTTTCAAATATCTTTTTATGCAGGAAAATGTATAAAATAAAATGAAATAAAAAAAAAAAGAACTCAATCTGATATACAGTCTTGTGTTATTCATTTAGAATTGTAATTTGATCATTCTAGTTCTACCTGGGGCAAGGCTTAATCTTTAAATTCCCAAATATAAGTGATTTATGTAAAGTATGAAAAATAAATATTAAATTGAAAATCAATATGCAAATGATTATGAGTGCATTTCTTTCTAACCAAAATTTTGTAAACGTTGTGTGGCGTTTGTTATTGTTTGCTAAACGTTACAAAAGAAGAAACAAATGCATCGTTTAATCCGTGTTTTCTTACCCTGTTTTGAACTTTCAATAATGCATGCACGTGTTGTTGGTAAACAGATGTATCCCCATAAGTGAAATCAAATTCGAACCATTCTAAAATATTACAAGAAAGGTAAAATATAGGGGATACTTGATGAGGTTAGGCCTAGGTCTACGAGACCATAACCGAAACACCTCTTTGTAATACTGGTAATAAAAACACATACCAGATATGAATTTCTATTCTTAAAATACACACATAAGTCTCATACTACAAGCATGCAAGTATGAATTATGAAAAATGTATACCACAAGAAAAAATATATATCATTCACAGAATTATACCAGCTCTAAATTACTCTAAATATATGCACATAGAAAATGGATGAATTACGAAGGATTATAATAAGATATACTGGATTGGTCCTGGACCCGACTGATTTTAATATATTAAAGGTTGAAGTTAGAAACAAATGTAGCGTTTGTACTAACAAACGACAAACGACAAACTGCAGACGCATTTTTAGCGAGTGCATAGATGGTCAAAGTTTATGTAAACTTTGCAAACGTATGTTTGAAACAAATGATCAAAACATGTGCGCGCTAAGTCGTTTGCATCGTTTGTGCTAGAAAGAAATGCACTCTATGTCTTAGTTCATCAGAAATCTTAAATTCTGCTTTAGTTTATCTCCAGCAATCTGTTAAAAATAAAAAGTATGTGCAAAATAGTAATGCCATGTAATGCAATGTAATGCATGAAATTACACAACTTTTTGCAAAAGTAGTGCATTAAATTACAATTACATGTAATGCAAAAATTGCTGCATTACACATTACATGCAATTACTTGGAAAAAATGTAATGCATTACCATGCATTACAATTACAAATTTGCATTACCCCATGCCTGCTCTCATTGTAGCTTTGAGATGAACAACACCAATAATATTGCCTACTGATTTTTGTGTCATGAAATGATACACCTTACCATAACATCCCTTCACTATATAATTAAATTGAAGTAACCTGAACTTACATAAACTTCCGTGCACAAACACAGAATATTGATCTTATAAAAAAGAAGATGTGGTATGATTGCCAATGAGACAACTCTCCACAAGAGACCAAATGACACAGAAATTAACAACTATAGGTCACCGTACGGCCTTCAACAATGAGCAAAGCCGATACCGCACAGTCAGCTATAAAAGGCCCCGAAATGACAATGTAAAACAATTCAAACGAGAAAACTAACGGCCTAATTTATGTACAAACAAAGAACGAATAACAAATATGTAACACATTAACAAACGACAACCACTGAATTACAGGCTCCTGACTTGGGACAGGCACATACATACAGAATGTGGCGGGTTTAAACATGTAAGCGGGATCCAAACCCTCCCCCTTACCTGGGACAGTGGTATAACAGTACAACATAAGAACGAACTATAATAAAATGCTCCGATGGGCGCAGCTTGATACGACCGCAGAGGTCGAACCCTGAACAGTTGGGGCAAGTACGGACACAACATTCAAGCTTGATACAGCACTGAATTTGGATTGAAATTAAATATTTGACACAGCATAGGTTTCTGACACAGAATGAATGTGGTCTAACAACTTAAAAAATTTTAATTTATCTATTCAAACCATATCATTATTATTTGCTTTTATATATAAATCAGAAATAACCAATTTAAAATGGAAAATTTTAAAGAAAAAAAAGGAAAACAAAATCCCCCACCCCTCAAATTTTTGAACCCCTTTATGATTCATCACCCCCAAACTCAATCCCAGCCTTCCCTTTGTGGTATGGTACCTTGCAGTACAATTTCAGAGAGATCCATACACTTGAACACAAGTTATTGTCTGGAAACTAGAAAAATGCTTGTTTTTTGGCCCCTTTTTGGCCCCAAATTCCTAAACGCTTAGGGCAATTACCCCCAAACTCAAACCCAGCTTTCCCTTTGTGATATGAAACCTTGTAGTACAATTTCATAAAGATCCATACACTTACACACAAGTAATTGTCCTGAAACTAGAAAAATGCTTGTTTTTTTGCCCCTTTTTGGCCCCTAATTCCTAAAATTTTGAGCAATTACCCCCAAAATCAATCCCAGCCTTCCCTTTGTGGTATGGTACCTTACAGTACAATTTCAGAGAGATCCATACACTTGAACACGTTATTGCCTGGAAACTAGAAAAATGCTTATTTCTGGCCCCTAATTCCTAAACGTTTTGGGCAATTACTCCCAAACTCAATTCCAGCTTTCCCTTTGTGATATGGAACTTTGTAGTACAATTTCATAAAGATCCATACACTTGCACACAAGTTATTGTCATGAAACTAGAAAAATGCTTGTTTTTTTGCCCCTTTTTTGCCCCCAATTCCTAAAATTTGGAGGCAATTACCCCCAAAATCAATCCCAGCATTCCCTTTGTGATATGGGACCTTGTGGTACAATGTCAGAGAGATCCATACACTAACACACAAGTTATGTCTGGAAGTTACAAAAATGCTTATTGTTGGCCCCTAATTCCTTAACTGTTGATACCATAACCCCCAAAATCAATCCCAACTTTCCTTTTGTGGTATTGAACCTTATGGTAAAATTTCATAGAGATCCATTCATTTAAACTAAAGTTCGGGTGCGAAAACCAATGTGTCTTCGGACGACGACGACGACGACGACGTCATACCAATATACGACCACAAAAATGTTTTTGCGGTCGTATAAAAATCAGTTGAAAGAATCTTAACTCATCAGATGGATAAAAATACAAATACTACAAATACAAGTGGACGTGGCCGGGTACTTGTACATCCAAACAACAAAAAGACACTAATTACAGATCTGAGAGTACTCGCAGTTACTGACAGCTAGTTCAAAGCCACTAACAACTAATAAAAAATCATGCATCTAAGACTAAATTATCAATCCGTACACATCCAACATCCAATGGATTTAGTGTAAAGACGTCATAAACAGCCAGAGAAAACATGACCTTGTGCAATGCCAAGATACAGGTATCGACAGATTGTAGATCCATGAATGTGTATATGTATATAACAATAATATTTAGTTTGCTTTTAATTTACTGATAACAAAATCAATATTAGTACCAATAAAAACAATATTTAATGATCTAATTACAGTGTTGAATTGGTAACCTTTTAGAATAAGTTTATTTAAAGGATCGATTCTAAATTTCCGGGCACGGTAAACAATATTTCCGTAAAAATGAGGATGTGCAATCTCGTTTGAAATCAGTATTCTACATGTAGTTTATAAACACGACATCACATGTCTAATATTCAGTGACAATCAGCTCATAAATATGACGATACAGCTCAATAGAAAAATAACAGAACATAAAAAGATTCATCATCAAAGAATGAAAAATCATTTTTTTAAACTTCTTAGCTGAATATAAAGTACAAAATATATTTAAAGATAAGTATATATACCGACACAATTATAAAGTATAATTTTTTGTTCAATTCAGAAAAAAAAAGTTTATAATTCATTTGTCAAAATATAATTTTCAAAATAAAATCCAGAAACATTTCAGTTTTAATTCAAAGTTAATATATGTTATTTTCATAAATTTACACCTACATGTACACAATATTTGATCAAAATATGCTTATCGCTATAATAATAAAGATTTGTTTTCATTTTAGGCACTATCAGAACAAACGTCAACATTGACAGGGAGCTTTACCAGTTGCTTGATATCATAGTGAATGCATATGATGGAGTTCACAACACCAATACTACAGTAACCGTAAAAATAATTGATATTAATGACCATGCTCCTTTATTCACAGGTCCCAAAAGGTGAATATTTATTTGTCTCCCAAAAATCAATGTAACCAGTTTAATGTTACATGTAAGTTACCTCCCTTGTACGGTTAATGAAGGACAATACTATATTAAGAATTGACAATAAACGTCTACTTAATATTGGTTGAGGTGAGGTATATTTACTTACCTTAAGAATTAAGCCCGTTTGGTTCATAATATTTTATTTCTTGAACATAGAAACATAAAAGACAGTTAATGAATAAATTACATCAGCTTTTCAAATATTGTATTAGGTTTTGGATTTTCACATATGTTGTATCGAAATTCACTGGGTAAATTGTCGATATTCGCATCCGGTCCTGTAAATTTATCACCGTTAACGATGTACATGTAGGTGTTAGATTGGTGTAGATTTTGTAAATCTGACTGATTACCTTGCAATGGTCCATTATTAACTGGGTGCGGAGTGAAGCTGAACACTGTGTTTGTTCATGATGAGGCAGAGCTGTGTGGGCTTGCATAAATGGCGCCTGATGATGATGTGTAACCTCCTAAAGGAGTTGAGTGACTGTGAGTGGCGTGATGAGGCATGGAACCAGTCCAGGTTGGTGACCCAGCTGGAAAAACTGTGGGTGCCATTGTTGTTTATGTCTCTGATCCAATTGTTACAATCGAAGCCCTTGTGGTGGTGGTCCTTGGCCGAGCAAGGTCTTGTACTTTCCACTTTCTTGCTGATCTTCTCAACATTGTGCTACAACTCAACAATAAGTAAATATTAAAAAAAGTTCTACCATACTAAACCAACATTTTTAAAAGTATTTCTATATAAATTGGCGTAACAAAATCCAATGATTGTTAAACGCAATAATAATAATAAAAAAAATTATTACATATACGAATTTATACATAGTAAAAATAATTAAAAAAAATATAAAAAATACTATATTCTAATAATTCTTAAATCTGTAGTGACATAGTGTAAAACTTATTACAACAATAATTCAAGCAGCCTGTTGATGACATTATGGCTTAATTTGTGATTCATCTCAACCATTCATACCTTATCGACGTAGTCCAGGCTAGAGTAGAATATGAATCGGAGTAATCATACATGTTGACCGACTCGACCCTCAGTTTCAACTTTCAGTATCAAGTGTGTAGGTACACGCCAAACATATATCAGGATACCTAAATATATGTTTGCTAAACTCCAGAAGCAAGCTATCATTTAGAAATGATGATTTGGGCTACTGCTTCTTATCTCCGTGTAAGATTTCCAAGATTTTTGTTTATATTGTTTCGAAAGTTGAACTTCCGGTTTTCACTAATACATTAATGTGGGTCCGTTCGTCCCAAAGGGTACGTCCCTTCGCACCTTGGTACGTTCATATCCTTTGTTGAGATATTTTGTTGAATATTTGCTACGGGAGATCTGGATACACATTTCCCCATATTTACCCTTTAAGGAAAATTTAATAATAATTCGGGAGCTCATCAGATAACGCCTGCCTCATATCCTATAAACATTGAAGTCCCGTGAGCTATTACGGTTACTTAAACTATAACAGTTACTTATCTGTTACAGCGTATTACGCCATCACACAACGGCTCTTTAAAAGCTAAACGTAATATAAAAACTAATTTAAACTCGTCGTCATATGTGTACCAGTCATGCAGACTACATGAATTCTAATTTAATGTAAAAATACAAGGACAAAATAATTATTTTAATCTGCAAAACTTAGGAAAATATTGCATCTAATTAGTTATTTGTTAAAATAAAAATAATAATGAAAAACGAATAATTAGAATTCAGCTCTTTCGAAAGCATGTGCTTACCACGTGGCGATAAATATCGATGCAATATGATCAAAAATGACAATAAAAAGAATTTCCTTTCTAAGACTACTGCTAATGAACAATGGAAGCACGAAACACGTTAAAACCATACCATACCAACACTACTTTACCATAAAAATCTTTCTTAAGCCTTGATTTTTTTCAATTTTACCGCTAACGAAATTTAAACAGCTTGCTTACTTCGAAAATCTGTAAAGGACTAAATTACGTCACAGAATTAAACGTCACTCATGTTGGGTAGAGCTAAAACATGAAACACTAGGCCCTAGTGATAACTGAATTTAAGTCTATTTACTTAAATTCCAATAATATGTGAACGCTTTTTCGACACCATTATGGCGCGATATCAAGGTCTTAATTTTGATTTTAGCATATACTAAATTGTGTTTCAGCATATGCTGAATTCATTTCAGTACAAAAAATGTATATACTAAATCCGAATAAGCATATGCTGAATTATTCAGCATAAACAGAAATATTGACGCGGAATCAAGTTCATAAATATTGAATTTAACATGCTAAAACCAATTCAGCATATGTTAAAATTAAGAAATAATTCATGGAAGCCATAGATTTGTTGGAAATTTACACATGGCCTGGCCATGTGTAAATTTACAACAAATCTATGGCTTCCATGAATTATTTCGATTCTAATAGGACAAATACAAGGATGGGTATGCCGTGTGTGTCGCTATTCTTTTTTACTCCCTGTTAGATAAAGCTTAAACTTTCTAATAAATATGTAGCTTGCAGCAAATATTTCGCAAATAACTGCTAGAAAAAATGTGTTTAATTCTTTTAACTCTCAAAACCCAACATTTGCCATTTGTAATTTACATGTTTTTTCTCGTAAGCTACCGTCAAATCCAAAGTTGACATTTCGTAACTAAGGAGCCGTCATGTTGACTTGCTGAAATCAGTAAATATGCGAATAATGCAATAGAATAAACCCTACCTCAAAAATTCATTTATTGCAATATTATACGAACTTCCATGGTTCACGTAACGGAAAAACCTTCAGCTTTAGCGTTTTCATTTGTATGACGTCATGTTTTGAAATGACTTAAATGAGCCAAAAGCATTAACGGACTTTCGCGGAATTTTAATTTATTTTGATTATGTAGATTTCTCCGAGCTATTGCGCATTTATTTTTTTTTGTTATGCATCCGAATAAGAATAGAAGTTCTGTAGTCTTTTTTCAATTGTAATTTTTAAAACAATAAAATCGGCATAGCGTTTGCAAATAAGTTCCGATACATGTGGATTTACGTAGGAGGTATTTTGTAACATCCATTATTATGTATATCTCTGAGTCTGCGCTAATTATAGATATATCGAGTATTTGATCATGGTGTTGTTTACAAAGCGAAAGAAGCACGTCATATTAGAATCAATAATTATGACCTTGATAAATGTTCGTTTCAAGTCTGAACCTTTCCTACAGATTTCACTTAATTTATAGCTCTACTGTGACAGTATATTTAGGAACGTGTTGCCAAAAAGCTTAACCTAAAGTTGTCTGTTTAAGAAAGGATTTATATCAGTTGTTTCTATTCATTTAAAACTTAATATACAATACATAGATTACATTATAAATGATTTTGAGGTTTAATATTTGTTGCTGTTATTCAACATGATCCCTTTTCTCCCATAAAATAGTGAAATCAAAATGAACATACAATAAGGTCTACTACATTTAATGGCAAACAATCCTACTCATATGGGAGTTTTCTGTCAAATGGTCTATGTTTTAGGCAAGAAAAAAAGCGGACTTGAGGACGGACGGAAACCATTTCAAAATTAATGATGAGATCACGGGTAATAGAAAAAAAAATATTTTGTAATCTACAAAACATAACAGCTGCATTATATTATTCCTGATACGCATACCACTTAAATACGTATGATAGAAATTTATTTGACACCAAGTGCATTTATTCTCATGAACAACTTCATCTGTCAGCTGCGATATACATGTTCGACCTTTTCCAGGTTACTTGAAAACAGAAAAAATGGAAAATATAGTGAATGCATATTTCATTTTTTTTTTCTATTCTTATATAACAATCTTACGAAGATAACATTCGAATAAACATTTCTTACAATTATTTCTAAGAAATGGAAAAGTTATGAAACATCATTTTGGGCAATAAACTCTGAAACATTTCATAGCGTTTTATGAATGATTGTATGGATGAATGCTTAATATCTATGCAAAATATTTGTTCTTAGCTGTAGATCTTTAAAATGTACATGAAATAAAAGTTATATATTTGTTATTTTATCTGCAGTTTCACTGTAAAAGAAGATTCTTCAGTTGCAAAAAGTGTAGGAAACTTAACTGCAAATGATACTGACGAAGGTAAAAATGCAAAAATAACATTTGACCTCGTAAGTGATGGCGGATATTTTCGAATAAATCAAACAACGGGAAACATACTTGTTGCTAGACAACTGGATCGCGAGACTGTCGAAACTCATTACGTGACTGTGTATGTACGTGACAATGGTGACAACATCCTATCTGCCACTGCAACAGTAACTTTAAAAATTGATGATGTAAACGACAACCCACCAGTGTTTGAACATGACCAGTTAACAGTTGAATTTGATGAAAATAAAACTTGCGAAAATGTTATCACAAAACTTTATGCATATGACATAGACAAACCTAATACGTCAAACAGTCAGATAATATATTCTTTAAAAAGGTAAGACAAATTCAAATGACAAATTCAAAACAATATCTTATAACTTAGAATAACGAAAAATTTATGTTTAATGCAATCTTACTTGGTCATGTCCATATATCACTGTATTATGAGACTAGTATAAATAATATAAAAAAGAAGATGTGGTATGATTGTCAATGAGACAACTCTCCACAAGAGACCAAATTACACAGAAATTGACAACTATAGGTTACCGTACGGCCTTCAACAATGAGCAAAGCCCATACCGCACAGTCAGCTCACACATATACACATCATAGATACCAGGCTTAAAATTTTGCACGCCAGAGAAGCGCGTATCGTCTACAAAAGACTCATTGGTGAAGTTCGCAAGAACGAAAGTTAAAAAGACCAAATAGAGTAACAAGGTGAAGAGCATTAGGAACTAAAAATTCCGAAAGATTTTGCCAAATACGGCATAGGTAATCTATTCCTGGGATAGAAAATCCTTTTGTTTTGTTTTTTTAAAAAAGAGTTAAAACGCATTCACGCTTTCATAAAAGGAGTGTTTAGGCTTTGTGAAGGCATTTTAATAAAATTGAAAATGGAAATGGGGAATATGTCAAAGAGACAACAACCCGACCAAAGAGCAGAAAACAGCCCAAGTCCACCAATGGGTCTTCAACACAGCGAGAAAATCCCGCACTCGGAGGCGGGCTTCAGCTGGCCCCTAAATAAAAATGTGTACTAGTTCAGTGAAAATTGACGTCATACTAAACTCCAAAAGATGAACTAAAATTAAAAAAAAACATACAAGACTAACAAAGGCCAGAGGCTCCCGACTTGGGACAGGCGCAAAAATGCGGCGGGGCCAAACATGTTTTGTGAGATCTCAACCCTCCCCCTATACCTCTAGCCAATGTAGAATAAACAAACACACAGCAATACGCACAGTAAAACTCAGTTTATAAGAAGTCCGAGTCCGATGTCAGAATAGGTAACAAAAGAAACTAAGCAAAATGACAATGATACACTAATCAACAAAGGACTCATAGCAGTTACTGACATGCATGCTCCAGACTTCAATTAAACTGATTGAAAGATTATGTCTTCATCATATGAAAATCAAGCACAATCCCTCCCGTTAGGGGTTTAGTATCATACCATCATAAAACATATGAAAAGAACATAACCCGTATCATGCCAACAACTTGTTTTAGAACAAATGTGTTTATTTCCGATTCAAAGACCCTATGAGTGAATCAATATTAATACCAAAATATGCCATCTACAATGACCTGACAACAGTATCGTAACTATATCCCTTCTCAATAAGTCTGTTTAAAGGTTTGGTTAGCTTTTGAGGTGAATGCCGACATTTTTTGTGCTTTGTAAAGAATATTACCATTAAAGATTGGATGTAGAATACCGGAACGTATGAGATGTCTGCATGTTTTTTTTTATTTACGAATAATGTCCTTGTACCGATGATAAAATTTGGTAAATGTTTTGACTAGTTTGTGATATCGAAAACCCTGGTGTAATAATTTTTCAGTAATACAGAGATTTTTTCGTTAAAATCAAATACGTTGTTACATACACGAGCGAATCGAACAAGTTGAGATATACAAACACCATAAGATGGTGACAAGAGAACGTCACCATCTAAAAAAGGATCATTAACAATAAGAAATGAAAAATCATCTTTTTTATCATAAATTTTGGTATTAATGTTCCGGTTAAAGATATAGATATAAGTTTACTTACCGCCGTAAAATGAACAGATTACCACTGAGTATATAAAGATATACATTTTTAGTTTTGTAAACAATTATTTCTGTCTATGATGCTATGTACTTTGATTTCAAAAGTTTTTATTAACAATGCAACCTTGGGTATGTATTGAATAGTTGCATTGACTTGCAAAACATTTATTTATTCTAATATCTATGAAACGTATTCTGAAAATGAATGATATAAACTCACATGATGTATCACTATAATGTATGTTTCAATATGTCCATTAGTTGTTAATATTTATTGTAATTAAGAATAGATAAATGCATTACTTTGCAAATGCTACTTCGAGAAATTAAAACAAAAGCAAAAATAGGATTTATTTCATTTTGAACTTTCATGATTTATACATCCCTGGCGTTCAACTCTTTATGTATGAAGGTTCCTGGTGAAGATAAATCTATATAGGTGCTTCGGGCGCACGAAATTTATATAATGTTGACTTCATTTTCAACTATGTTATTTAAATTGATTTAAAACATTGTTGTTTTTTTTTGTGTACAACTTAAGCGAAATCGATAAATTTACGGTAGACAAACAGTCTGGTAACCTCACTTGTAAAGTTCCTCTAGACTATGAACGAGAATTTTCTTATGAAATAATTGTTGAAGCTCAAGACAATGGTATACCTGCAATGTCATCTAAACAGATAGTTGTTGTCAACGTAAAAGATATCAACGACAACGTTCCACAATTTGTTGATCTTAAACCTTCGATTACTATCAGGTAAGTTTTGTTTGCATATGGCACTTACTCTTCCGTAAAGTAAAAACGTGTTAATACATAAGTTCAATAAATTAAATGCAAGTTTTATAGCTATTTTTTTCATAGTAAAAAATGATACGGAGAGTTTAATTTTTTATTATGTGTATTAAAGCGAAATGAGTCAATAAACGAAGCAAACAGATAAAGATCAAATTCAATCGATTCCAACTTTTGAAGAAAAATGCAAATTATGGATTAATATAAAGATATTAAAAAATCCATCGGTCGTTTTCTGTAATTGTAGTGTTCATAACATGTAACAATCGTTCGAAATGCTTACAATGTTTTTCGAATTCAAGGCCATACATAAACGTTTTGAACCTCAATAGTTTTCGTTGCATTACAACTTTAATGTTGATTTGGTTTATTAGATGTTTTTGGTTTTAGCGACACTGGCGAGTCTCATGTGGATGAAAAGTGCCTGCATTCTTACTTAGATATAAACTTGTTATCTATAATGATTTATTTACATATACTACTTGATATTTCGTCGGAATAGTATAAATGGACATGCATGTTTTGTTTAACATGCTTAGCCGTGTCAACACGACAGAATACTCAAAAATTAAAAGTTCATGCGATTTGTTATGTTTGAGTCCATTTTTTGTTTGGTGTTTAACTGGACTTTATACTAGTTTATATTCCAATGCTGTAATAAATAAGTATTTTTCAATACGTTAATATTGCATTAACAAATTACTCTTTTTCATAGATATTTCAACGAAGAACGAGTTGTTGAAGTGATTAAGGTCATTGACTTGGATTCAGGAAATAATGCAAAAATCCATTTTGAAATAGGTGGTACAGCAGCAAATTTCCTTAAAATTGACCAAAATGGTGGAATATTACGTACAGAAAGATTGGCAAATCCAGATGACGGTGATTACAGCTTAACTATAAAAATTACAGATTATGGTATTCCAAGTTTGACTAACACAGCTTCCATGACAGTCAGAGTGCAAAAACATTCCCAAGAACAGTCTCTTAAATTTATTCAGCAAGAAATAAATATGACAGTTGTGGAGAACAGTGCACACAATTTGCCCTTAAAATCCGTATCAAAATACGTAGATAATCCAGACAATCAATCTTTAAAATATGAAATTATTGATAAGAGTGAGGACCTTTCGTTTTTTGTAAATGAATTAGATGGGAAAGTTATCTTAATCAAAGACATTGACAGAGAACTGAAAGAAGTCCACGAATTTGTTATTCGTGTGAGACATACAAATAATGCAGACAACAGTGATCTAGCTTTAGTAAGTATTTGTTATAAGTTTTCCTGTTGTAGATTTATTCTCATTTGCGAAATCACATGAACAAACCCCGATTGTCGAGCATCCAAAACATACTAATATGTTTTCAATTGAACCAAAAATTATTTCTCGAATGAAGTCATTCTGGCACTATATCAAATAAAATCATCATTTTCCAAATTTTTCTTTCTCAGAAAAAAGTCAATCTCGTCGTTTTTTTACAATGTTTCTTGTTGAAGAATACCGAAAAAACTACGCTTTGTATGTGAAAGAACAGCATTACAAGTGAATCCTTACTACATTGTATGGATGGATGTACAAATAAACAACAATTCTGTGTCGGATCCACCGTACCGCGTTGCAGCGGAGGACAAAAGGTACAATAACTGGTACCAATTACTGACATACTGAAATAAATAATTTAAATTCAGTAGCTTTTGATCGACAGCATAATTGATAACATTCCAGTCCAACACGCCTTTTTATTTGTATTTGAGTTAACCTCCAGGGTGTGGAAGCCACTTTTTTTGTTCCTATATGGAAATTAACTTAAGCAAATACTTTTAAATTTATGAATAAAAAAATTAGTAAAATCCTTTCACCATAGGATATTCAGACATATTGATGAATCAAATGTAAAAGAGGGACGAAAGATACCAGAGGGACATTCAAACTCATAGATCGAAAACTAACTGACAACGCCATGGCCAAAATAAAAAGACAAACAGACAAATAATAGTACAGATGACACATCATAGAAAACTAAAGTCTAAGCAACACGAACCCCACCAAAAACTGGGGGGTGATCTCAGGTGCTCCGGAAGGGTAAGCAGATCCTGCTCCACATGTAACTATAACAATAATTTGTTTTGGTTTTAGCTTTCAAACTATTTAGATTCGAACGTCACTGATTAGTCTAATGATGACTTAACCAAGGCTCCGTGTTGAAGGCCGTACTTTGACCTATAATTGTTTACTTTTTATACATTGTGACTTGGATGAAGAGTTGTCTCATTGGCAATCATACCACATTTTCTTATTTATATTAGCGCCCATCTTGCATACCAAACTATAACCGTGGTATCTTTGACCATGTTGAAGTTGGTATTCACATCGCATCTATTCCTACCAAGGAATATGTTTCATTGTTAGGTCTTCAAATTTTCAAGGATTAACAACTGAGGAATAGAATCTGTGACTAACACATGCAACGATTTAAATTCTCTTTTTTATGCCCCAACTACGATAGTAGAGGGGCATTATGTTTTTCGGTCTGTGTGTCCGTTCGTCCGTTTGTCCCGCTTCAGGTTTTTAGTCAAGTTAGGTTAACGTTTTTGGTCAAGGTAGTTTTTGCTGAAGTTGAAGTCCAATCAACTTGAAACTTAGTACACATATTCCCTATGATATGATCTTTCTAATTTTAATGCCAAATTAGAGTTTTGACCCCAATTTTACGGTCCACTGAACATAGAAAATGATAGTGGGAGTGGGGCATCCGTGTACTATGGACACATTCTTGTTTAATCCTGTTTGTTCTAGCAGGACATCCGATAGAACCGACATTATGGACATTTATATATGTTACCTGATATAATATACCACACTGAATTTTTGAACATCTTATCTGTATAATTAAGGTCGATATTATTGTTATAGAAACAATCAAGGATAAATCTGTAACAGCCAATTCTTCATATAACTAAAAACTTAAAGAAATGCTATTCGGTAACTACTGACGAGTTACTATGAAAACGTTGCTGGATATCTTATTTTTGTTTATAGTTCCCTTCCTCTTTTAATCTCGATCAGTAGATAAATCAAACGCTCATTAAGGAGCATACAATAAAATCGCTTAATTCTATACAAGCGGTATAATGGATAACAAATAAATAAAATAAATGACAAATCGTACCATATAAAAGAATTCTTACAGTTACTGAAAACAAGAGCAGAACATTTAACCTTATGATACAAGATGAGACCGTCCTGAACTGTATATCAGTTGCTATACTTCGTAGTAAATTTCATACAGCAATGTCACAAACAGTATAGCAAGACGGTATCTTGTGAAATGCTAAAACAAATATACAGAAAATAAGATGAATTGATATGACCATTAAAGCTGGAGACGTGATACAACTTTTAATTAAACTCTCGTTAAGTCACAACAATATTTCTCACAAAATGTACTGTTGCATTCAGGAAACGACATATTTGTAGTAATCATTTTGCAAATTGGAATCTGTATCATATGTTTACGGTTTTTATCATCAATTTTCCTCACTTGTATACTTGTATAACGTTAAGTTTTTGTTAATTAACTTAAACATTGAAAGTGTCTTTGTATATTTTATGCAATTCACTGTTTTATATTTATTTCTTTTATAACTAGGTAAGAGTCTGGGTTCTCGACGAAAATGATAACGCACCATTATTCGCCTCAAAGGCCTATTATTTCAGAATGAACGAAAATAAACAAGAAGGAACTGTCGTGTCTCAAATAACTGCAGCCGATGCCGACATTGAGAAAAACGCTGATATTGAATTCACATTATCCGGAGAGAGTATGTAGTAAAAGTTGTAATACCGTTAATCGTTGCAATTTGGTTGAAGTCATATTTTGATATTTTTGGTGCCTGAAATGGAAGTGTCAAAATTAAACACACAAAATAATCATTGACTAATTATCATTATAATTGTGCGCAGTTAAAACTTAATCTTTTAACTAGACAAAGATCAGGGATCAACCGTTTTATTAATGCTTAACTTAACAAAGCCAATGATATTTTTTAAAATAACATCGAATCGGTTAAACAAAACATCAGGACCCAATCGGGTCTGATTTATATTTGTTCTCCATATATCATGAAATTGTTAACAGGTTTGAAACCACTTCGATTTTTAAGAAATAAATACATGTTATAAAATATTTTCAGGTTGCCAAGATGCCTTTTCTCTTAATAACGAAGGAGACGGAAAAGCATCGATACAATTGCGGATAGAAGTGGATTATGAGGTACAACATACTTGTACTTTCGATGTCAAGGTAACTTTACTTATTTCTTAATAGATAAATCAAATGCCTGATAAAATCGTTTATTTTTTCTTTCATGGTGAGCTTTGGTGTTTTTGATAGACGAAAATGAAGCTTTGGCTTCATTTGTATGGATGAAGCTTATTGTAAAAGTTAATACCCTGCATATCGTTTTTTCCCTGAAAGGGTTATAATTCTAAATAAATCCCTCCAACATAAATCAGTTTTTTGATTCACTGAAATTTAATCTTCCAACTCTTTAACAAAAAGTTGATTTTACATTGCGATTAATGTACCATCTAGCCAGTCGGGATACCTTAGAAAATATTTGGAATCACTTTAATTTGTAGTTTTCAATTCATTAGATATCAGTTTTTGTAACTGCTACAATATTTAAACTTTTCATTACACAAACGCACGCCATATGTTGTTGTGAATGTGGACAGACTGAAAAGAATAAAATGAAAAAATATTAATTTTTCGGAATTGAATAACGCAAATAAAAATATGTTGTAATAATATTTTCAGTAGTTGAAGGCAAATAATCAAAAAATTTGTTTTTATTAAAAAGGAATAATACAAATAACTTTTTCAAAATAAACTTGAATATTAAATTATAATTTTGTGTTGATACTCCTAATCTATTTATAAAGCAATACCGAAAAGGAAGGTAGATGGTGACACACATGCCCGTCCATCTGTGCGTTCTTCGTCCTTCTCAATATTGTTTCTAATTTGAACGTAAAGAACTTCATAAAACGGAGTTTTTTCATGATGTGTTTTGGATCACTTAACAAAGTTGAAATTCGATCTACATTATATTTCTTTTTACAGTTACTGTGTTATGGTCCTTGATCGTTGGAGCATTCAAGAGTTTGTAGCTACCGGGTTTTTATTACACAAACCACTACACGAAACGGTTTAAGAATACATAAACTTAATATTTTGAACCAGCAAGTGAAGTTCGATTTTCGTAATTTTAGTATTCACCGTTTTTTTTTCAAAAATTATGGTCGTTTATTGATTATTTCTTATAAGGTGACTACCGAATGTTAAATGGAGCCATTGCTTCATGAAATGAATTGGACTTTTAATGGAGTATGTTGGATTGTTGTCATTTTTGCTGTTCAGTATCATCATTGATATTTGAAAAACTTTAACTAATATTGTGTACTACATGATCATATGAATACAATTCGGCTAAATTCCTTTGTAAAAAGGCGAATCACCAAAGGATGAAAAACTTTATCAAAAATACAATATGCTTGTTTCATATTATCAGAAAAGTGTCGTATGCAGGTCTGCTGAAACATAAGACCAAACCTTGCTTATATTTTTTCAATACTTTTGCCTACTATACTACTACAGTAATTGACATTCTTCCAATCGTCCCGGCCCCATGTCAGGTTGAAGCTTTCGGCCAATGTACATGATGCAGTTTACTACAATGATTGTATCGTCACATCAAATTGAATCTTAGTTAACATCTTCAGCAATATTTGAACTTTGAAAAACGTAGGCCGAATTTGGATTCAGTCACAGTCTTCACTGTTAACTGAACATGAACAAGTGATGGCGCGAGCTGGGCATGGTGTCCAAGGGAAACATATTATTAGGTTTATAATGTGTATTTCTAGGCTTATAACCCAAACAAGGTGATGATGTGGTCCAATGCTTCCGTTGTTATCATTATAGAAGATTATAATGACAACAAACCTGAGTTTATTGGATCTACCAGTAATAAGTATACAGTTAAAATACCTGAGGATACGAACATCAACAATCATGTAAGTATTAATTAGTTAGTAAGATAATTTCTGCTTAATTAAATCAGTCAATGGACATTTTTTAAAAGCAATTATTCTGTTTTTCGAAATATAAAGTTCAATACAACCTTCTGATAAAACGCTCCAGTATTTTTCAGGAATGGAGAGTCTTATAGTATTGTTCATCTTCATTCCACCGCTCCTTTTGCTCTTTGGATATTTCCATAGTCATTTCTTAAGAAGTGTTCTCTCATTGAAATATTTCTAAAGGAAGTAACGCGATATTGAATGAAGATGAAAACTTACTAAAACGGCTGATACTGGATTTTTATTTTAGTGGGATCGTCCGGATGGGAATAAAGACAACGCAGTAATTCTATGGCATATCAGCAGACAGTTTTTATTTATGATTTGCGAGTCGATATTTCATCGACTATATAATTATGTTATATATCCAGTGGCAAATATTACAGTTATATCGACAATGTGTTGATTACAATGAAATAATGACCTTTATAAATAAACAAATCGGTTTTTGTACCACTCATTTTGATTTACAAAAACACCACTGAGACGTAAATACATGTTTATATCTATATACTATATCACACTAGATTGCCCATGATACGACTATCCACAAGGGTTAATATTACTATCTGTTTCCAATAATCATTTACACATTGATATTACCATTACCAAAAAGGCAATCCAGAAGAATCATAGGTCTGTTCTATGTTCCTTTAGAATTTCAACCAAAAATGAAGAACTGGGTCTTGCTTCAGTGCACTAGAAAAAAATTACATAGGTGTCCTTACAAACAACGTTATGTTGCTGGGTCTGCCTAATGCTTCATGAAACATTTCCAAAGTATTAAGATATATCTTATCTACAAGCAATGAAATTATTTACATAGGGGCAGTGTGAATCAATTGTGGATACTGAAAAATTTCAAAGCTCTCTTAGAATACATACAATCTAAGTCTCTATCTTCTTGCAGTACATGTAGTATAACACATTTCAGTTATAATAATGGTTTTCCATATTCTGAACTAAAAGACGACTGAAGGAATTAGTTCTTGTTTAAAAAAACAAATGACAAATGTAGATATAAATACAAAGAGGTAAATCATACTGCAAAAACACACAAAAATTCTCTGAGGAGAGAGTATTTTTTCAACAGAAATCGGTATTCATATTGGAACCAAATGTGCTCCTCTTCTTGTCTTTTTTTAAAATTCATATGAGACAGACTTCATACAGGAGCTTATCAGGAAGAATGAAGATAATCTGGCATTATCCTTCGCGTACCGCCAATTTGATCTTGATGATGTCTTTGCACTAGAAAATAAACGTTTTGTTATGATGTTAAACTTATTTGTCCGATCGAACTTGAAATAAAGGATTCCACAAGTAAGTCTGCCTCATACATTGACTTGCATCTAGAAATCGATAATGAGAGTCGGCTAAAAACAAAATTACGATCAAAGAAATAATGTTATCTTTCCAATTGTGAACTTTCCATTTCTGTGTAGCAAAATACAAGCAGAGCCTGAATTTGGAGTACCCTATCATGATTTCCTAAAAAATATGGTTGCTGCTTTCACTGAAGCTTTTGAACAAAGTGTTCCTAGTGGTAACATTGAAATCATCCCTTCGAAAGTTTTAGGGCGACATTATGAGTTGGTTGATCGTTAGGGAATATCTGTGTCACAGCTGACCACGAATATGTTCCAATCGTCGTAGTCTCTCTTGTGTCATCTAGATCAATTGTGGCATCACCGAACAAGACTTACCACTGCATGTGTACTTACCATGAACATCAAGACCGGTAACATATTGGAAGAAAGATTTGCGCACCTTTATAAAGCATCTGAAATCACCCAATGTTGTTTTTGAAATCTCTTCAAACGATTTTGAAGGTTCAATTTGAAAATGATTGTCATAGCTTCATAGTCATGATATCTGAAAAGAATTTATAATTATAGTGATAGGTTGAATTAGGATTGACAGTGCGATAAAGTACTCATTTGTTGAATGATCATTTCAGTTCTATTAAAGCTTTGTCTTCGTGTCAGCACCCTCAATAGAACATGGTTGCGTTCTGATATACCACATGCAGTTAAACTAAATTTCATATGCAGTTAACAACACAACTTACATATGTAACATTTAACAATACATTTTTTAAAACGGAAAAGTAAATTTCAACTTTAAACTTATCAATAAGGCTGTATGTGATTTATTATTTTATGCATCATTATTGTATAAAATATTGAATCATACTTCCTCAATAAATCATAATACTACTTCAATAAATGCCTTTTTGTGACAGGTTAGAGATAATATTACAATATCATTGTTGCAAAGGCTTTTATTATTAAAACAAAATATTACGCGCATTGAAATGAGTACAGAACAGAACTGCAGACGCGTATAGCAACAAAACTTTATCATTATTAGAAGAATACAAATAGGAGGAAAAAAAGTTTTCTCGTTTATATTCGAATGGCGGGTGTTGCATGCATAGCAGGAGAGGCTTTCCCTGTCGACGCACCCGGTCATCGATTTATTAAATTTGAACATCGGTAGACCAATGTGGCATATATTTGTCGGAGTTGACGTAGAAAGACCTTAATTGGAAAATTTTAAAATATCGAGAGTACGAAGGATGCAAACTATTGAAGTTAACGTACGGCTGTTTTAGATTTGTGTTTTTTCCTTTGTATGTTTAGAATATATTCGGTTCCTTGATTAACGTTTATATTTTAGTATACTATTAACTGCAGTTCATACCAGTGACGCACAAATGTGATATAATGAGCTCTATTAAATCTAATTAGCGTATAATTCAACTGGCGCTACAAATTATTTCAAAACTTAGGAATATCAAGTAAACATTAATTGCATTGATCAATTCTTTGCAGGACAAATTATTATAGTGTTAAGTCAACAGAGAGCTAGAATAATGTTCTCCTGTTTGAATGGCACTTCTTTCTGTGAACACTTTCTTGTGAACTTACTTAAAACTTTCGAATCGACCGAAGAATGGCAATGTAGTAAACACATATTTCATATTAATATAATTTTATTGTCGCTCTGATTGTTTTATTATCATACTTATATCTGGAAACAGGAATTCTCATATCTATTTAAATGCACAATATCTCGGGAAAATAAATATGCTCAAAATATGTTTATATTTGGTGCTGAGTATTGAAATCACAATACAGATAAATTTTATACTTTTTATTTATATAGTTTTTAGTTTTTTTCGCTTATGCACACCAACAACTGTTAAATTGACTTTTTTTGTATTTTTGGTATCAAAGTTTTACATTAATCTAAAGACATATGTTCTCTAATTCATAGTTTGAAGCCAGTTAAATGGTGTGTTTGATTTTTCTGTATGGAACATCTATATGGTTAGGTAATTGCAAACATTCATGTCGAGTTTTTGATGTCACTGTATGAAAAAATCTAAAGTACAGCTACTGATATCAGATTGTAGGACGGTTGGATTTCATAACAACAGGTTAAATAATTTGAGACTGATTTCCGTACTTGCGAGCATTTTACGATAGTGTATAATTTATTACCGTCTTTTTGATGCTTCTGATTTTGTTGTCTATCTATTTGTCATACTTTGAACGACAAAATTATTTTATTTATTAATATTACTTTTACTGTGAAGTCTGTTTTTTGTGATATACATTTGACGTGACTCTGTACTTATGTATCCCGTCATACTTTGAACCACACAATTATTTTATTTATTAATATTACTTTTACTGTTAAGACTGTTTTTGTGATATCCATTTTACGTGACTCTGTTTTTATGTATCCCGTCATACTTTGAACGACACAATTATTTTATGCCTACCTGTGCGAATTTCAAACGCGCGATTTTACGCCAGTACTTAAAACCTTCCACCCTTTATGGGTGGATTTTACATAGAGAAATAAAATCGTATGAAATAAGCAAAATGGGGATGTTAAATTTGATATATGCCTTTTTGTGCTTCTTCGTTACAATTATTTGTTTTTATAGTGATTAAGATGATAACACAATGTTGACTGCTGTACCCCTAGTTTTGACATTTTTACCTATTGTGTCTGTTTGTTTTGTTCACGCATCGTTGTCAATATAATGGAATTTGATGCGACTGTCATACAAGTGAGAGGTACAGTTAGCTATAAAACCAGGTTCAATCCACCATTTTCTACATAAGAAAATGCCTGTACCAAGTCAGGAATATGACAGTTGTTATCCATTCGTTTGATGTGTTTGAACTTTTGATTTTGCCATTTGATTGGGGACTTTCCTTTTTGAATTTTCCTCGGAGTTCAGTATTTTTGTGATTTTACTTTATACCGATAGTGTATGATACTTTTCTTGTATATATATATATTAATTGGGGTTTGTTGTATATACCTTTTGTAGTAAGTCCGTTTGTGCAGAGTTCTGAATGTGCATTGAATATTTGGCACTGTACGTTAAGCAAACGTCGGTCAATTAAATGAACCGGATTACGGAGGGTGAGACATATACACCTTAGTTAAACCGGTCAATGGTTATGTGTCTGTTCCCAGTCAGGAAAGAACATCTTCAGTGTGTCTTTAAACTGTATCTTACTTATTTTTCATTTTAAAATTTGTATATCGATTGTTTATCTTTAATTGTCTTTATTAGATTGATTAACATTAAGAGGTTGACATATTGTATATTCACCTCATTTCTTGTCCGAGTTTAGCTAAATTTTGTCCTATCTTGGATATATCAGCTTTCAACGTTTTGTTTTAGGTTTTATATTTGAAATATTTTGGCCTTGGTGTCGAATTGTAAATTGGGTACAGTAAAATTAGTACCGTTAACGATTTTTTTATTAATACAACTGTATGTTTACCAAAGATATATTGCGATTATTTGTGTTGTTGGGTTGCTTTTTCCGAATTCAACCACCCACCTCTTGATCAATTTTTAATAATTTGAAATATGTTTCTTTAATAGTAAATCGAAGTTTAAACTTTTAACTAAATTTGATGTTTTGCGTGTTGTCAGTTTTCTTCTACCTATTTATTTATTTATGAGCGACAGAAAAATAACATTTTAAATGATTTGTTTACTTTATACAGCTTCCATCATTTGGTCAGGTGCACGATAAAGATAGCAGAGAGAACAACGACATAGAATTGACTGTAGTCAATGATGATTGTTGGTTTACTGTTAATATAGGTTTGTCTATTATCATGAAAAGGGTAGTAATAAGAGAAATGTTGTGCAAACCTATTTCATGGTAATTTCCCGACATATAAGGATTCAAAATTCAAAACTCGATATTAAAATTTCTGAAATTCTAATTTGATGTTTGATTTTAACTCAAAATTGTAGTAAAGTATTATTTTGAAGAAACAAAGTGTATTTTAGATCAATTTCTGCGTTTAAAAATAAATATCAACGATTAAATTTGACAGGGCAAAATGTCCCAGTTCACAATTCAAGTTTTCACTAAAATTATATAAACGTTCTTTCCCTTTCCTAAAATTTGCATTTAAAACAGATTATGAAGTGTTCCTAGCTTTTAACTGTTTTCAGAGGTGTAGACACAAAATGTTATTATTGTCAAAAGAAAACAAAAATGTACGACATTTTTTAAGGATTCTTGCGAGATACACGGATGACACACATGATACAACGAATCTGATAACCAGGGTTGTTCTGTTTTTTCTGCCTTTTTTAACGACTGACTTCCAAAAACTTTACCATTAGATACCTGAAAAGGTAAATGTAGAAAATTACCTTGTTGAAATGTTTTAAGCTACCGAGGAAGGTACTCAAAAACTATACTTCATATATAGACAAACGACAATAATGTTAAGCAGAAGATTAAACGACAAATGTTAACAAATATATCATTGAAAGCACGATTTCTTAAAACAAATTACATCAAATTAGATGGAAGTTATTTGCTCCAGTAAGTAGTTCATCCATCATTGTGATACTCGTATAAAAAGCTTACAATGAGCTATAATATAAGGAGGAACAAAGATCACTGATTTGTGACTACGATTATTCGGAGAGACTTATCAATACATACATGTATATATAAAGTCACCTTATGCTAGGAAGCAGCTATTGCTAGTTTTTTTTAACATACATATTTGCATGGCTTTATTTAAAACTTTTTTTATAACCGGTCTGTGTTATTCATATTTTTTGTCATTTCTTTCCAGTAAACACTGAGATGTTTTTAAAGGTCAAGCCAAACATTACACTGGATTATGATAAAGGTGTTGTACAAAATGAATGTACTCTCATTGCGTCGGACAAAGGTGTACCTAAACTGTCGTCTACAGCCACTCTGAACATTAGTATAACTGATGTTAATGATAATTCACCTGTACTATCTAACCCTGGCATCACCATAAATGTATCACGTGATGCTGAGCCCGGAACCATTATTGTTGACAAAATACCTGCTACAGACATCGATTCAGGTGTAAACGCAATGTTGGTTTATAGGATAGGTAAGTATCTATTTCTGTTGAGCTGAATACAACTTTTCATACCTTTTTAAAGTCTCATGGTATCCGTTAAATGATTATATTTTTCTTTGTTAACTAACGTCTTTGAAAAATAAATCTGATTACACACATGTTCAAGTGCACCTTAGCTTATCACTTTTGATGTTTCTTATGTCAAAAGCTATATACTTTTTAAAACCGACAATTTCACATCTGAAATGAATCCGATAATTTAACGCCTCTAAGGTTAAACAACAGTATGTGTTGTCATAACATTGTCGACAACGTTGCATCACAACATATTTAGAAGGCATAGAAAAAGATGTAGTTCCTTGCACTTCCTACTTTATTTCCAATAAAATCAGTGAAATAAAAATCATAACTAATCCAAGAATTCAAATATAAAAAAATATTCAACTCATGGCCGAACAACGTATAAATAACTCGTGCGCTACACGCATTTGCGAATTAATATGTTGTGTTGTAACTTATTGAATATTTTCTATATTTGAATTCTTGGATTACAGATATTATGAAAAGGTATTATTGATAAGTATGAACATCCATTAAATATGACAAACAAATAAAATACTATAAAAAGATGTAGAAAGCACTTATATATCTGTTCGTGTTCTTTATTGATAGCTTAAGAATAAATTTGGTATGCCTGTATCTTTATTTATTTTTTCAAATGGAGAAAAAAGAATGGCAGTTGAAAAATACGTACATTTTTTTTCTTCAAAATTTCAAAAAATTAGTTAATTGATTGTTTGTGTCGTGAAACCATTATCGATATGGCATATTGGCGTAATCTTCAAACCAACTACTTCTCTGTAGGTTTAGGAGTCAACATTTCTAATAATATGGTTGTCATTTGTGTGTGTGTCGTTAGTTAGTTGTGCAGTCGACATATACAAATCACCTCATTCTTTCAAATTTATGTATTAAAAAGTATAAAAGTCTTTCCATAACTATCAAACGAAGTTTTGATAATACAGTTTTTATAATGTATGTGATTGAAACCTAGTTCATTGGTACTTGCTACAATTTTCCGTTAATCTAAGCTTTTTGATATTTTCAGAATAATTGAACTGGCTCTAATAGATAGAATGATATGATCTACTTTCATTTTATTTACAAATATCGTACTTATTTCAGCAGTAATGCACATGTTTAAAATGACATATTTGTCATTGTTCAACTAAAGTTCTTTAACTTTAACTGGTGCGACCAAATATGAGTTTTTATTAATAGCTGGAATGAGGTGGGCATGGAATGCTGTTTCGAAGTGTTGTTTTTTTTCTTCAAAGCATTTAATCAACCTGTTCATAGTCACTTTGAATAGATACAATTCATATTGAATGCAACATCTGCAAGCACATAAATATTAAAAGTATGAAACCATCACAAGTAGGCTGTCAAAAAAAAAATCAAAAACTTAAAATCTACCCTTTTTCTTTTATTTAATGGGACATACGACCAACAATTATTCTTGGCACGGGATAATCAAAATAGATACGATACCTTTAAAAGCTAATGTGTACTGTTTTCATTTACGTGTTATTTCCATACTTTCCCTACGCATACGTCATGATCACTTGGACAAGGTCCGTTTTGAAAAAAACAAAATACGTGACTTTGCCAGAAGATTAAATGCATAGTCAGCATGAAGTCGATGTACAAATAAGGATCCATCAATGTAAATTCACTGTCGACTGAATTTTTCAAGGTTAGGCAAGTTCTCCGCATAGACGCTATATATTTTAAGTTCACAAAACTATGTTCTTGTAAATACCTTGATAGTTTATATAGTTTTGCATGAACTACCATTTTATGATACCAAAGTGATGTATAGTAGTCAATGCCAATACCGGAAACGTACAGAAGCTTTTAACAATGTCAGATTGACAAAGCGAACTACTATATATATAGAAATTGAGATGCCGCTACTTTTAAGTAATCTTAATCTGAAAAAAGGTTGAGTTTTAAAGTCAAATATAATCTTATAAGATACAAATACTAAATACATGATATTGTGTGCCTTCACTTTAAGATTCGTGTTTAATTCACAGAATCATCTGAACATAGTTCAAGGTTTGCAATTGATGCTTACACAGGTAAAATTACCGTAAATACTGTACTTCAGAGTGTTCAGAAAGACGACATTATGCTCAGTGTTATTGTTTCTGACAAAGGTTCACCTCAAAGATCAACTAGAGCACAGGTATATGTTTACTTCTTATTTAGTTTATGCATTGAATGTTATTGGTAGATTAAAAAAATATTCATTGTTTTTCCAAAACAATATAAGAAATTGTTAATGCGATCGAAAAGTGGTATTCATAAGATGGGTCAGTAAAACCATGATAATAAGAGATAAAAGTGTTTGCTAAATGATTGTTGCCTGCTGTATGTTGCTGTGGACTGAATATGACAGAACGTTTTTATGCATGCCATTTTAAAGATCTAAAGAGATGAAAGTGGCGCATAGTATGACATACACAGAGGAAGCTTGCTATCAACTTCACCATTTTAAACACTTGGTTTAATATCTTCCTTGTAAGCAGCAACCCTCTGTCAAGGAAATCATGATAGGAAACGCAAGCTCTGAAATATCGTATCAACTGGGAGATATATATTCAATATGCAGGCGCTGTGGAATATTGCTTAAATGTCTATCAGCCATAAATATTTCAGATATAAGTAATAACAAATTTTATTTTATTGTTATCTTACATTATTCCTTATGAATTGAAACTTGATATATTAAAAACAAAACTACAAACTCTGACAAAAAGTCTTACTTTGATGTATTGTCATTAGTAATTAGAAATGAAACAACCCTTACCAAAATGATATTTTGCTACAAGACGTCTAATTCAAAGATTTCAATATTGATAACAGATACTATTAGATAAGGCCTTGGATCGTATCTCATTTTGACAAAAGCAATGAAAATGATATCCATTTGAGGTCAACTATATTAATTTTCACATCTTTAACTCACCGGGCCCGAAGGGCCCATTGTGAGATTATGCCATCACTTGGCGTCCGTCGTCGTCCGTCGTCTGTTGTCGTCGTCGTCGTAAATTATTTCAAGAATCTTCTCCTCTGAAACTACTAGGCCTACTAGAAAATACCTTCAAGCTTTAACTGAATGTTCCTTAGGTTATCTAATTTATAAATTGTATCTGAAGTTATGATCCATCAACAAACATGGCCGCCATGGCTAAATATAGAACATAGGGGTAAAACGCAGCTTTTGGCTTATATCTCAAAAACTAAAATATTTAGAGCTAATCTTACGGAGTAAAAATGTCAGTAGGTCAGGATCTATCAGCCCTGAAATTTTCAGACGAACTGAACAACCCATTGTTGGGTTGCTGCCACTAAATTAGTAATTTTTAGGAAATTTAGCAGTTTTTAGTTATTATCTTGAATATTATTGAAGATAAAAATAAACCTTAAACAGTAAAAATGTTCAGCAAAGTAAGATCTACAAAAAATTTAAATATGACCAAAATTGTCAATTGATCTCTTAAGAAGTAATTGCCCTTTAAAGACAATTTTAAACAATTTGTTCATCATGTTTGCTAACATTTAAAAATCTTCTCCTCTGAAACTACTGGGCCTAATACTTCTAAACTTTAACTGAATGTTCCTTAGGGTAACTGGTTTATAAATTGTATCCGACGTTTTGATCCATTAACAAACATGGCCGCCATGGCTAAAAATAGAACATAGGGTCAAATGCAGTTTTTGGCTTTTAACTCAAAAACTAGTAGTTAGAGCGAAAGTGACAGGAGTTAAAGTGATGAATAAGTCAAGATCTATCTGCTATGAAATTTTCAGACCAATTGGACCACCCATTGTAGGGTTACTGTCCGAAGTAGTTTATTTTTATGAAATTTAACTGTTTTTGGTTATTTCTTTAATATTATAATAGATAGAGAGAAAGTGTAAATGGCAAAAATGTTCAGATAAGAAGAATCTACAAATAAGTCAAATTATCAAAATAGTCAATTGACTCCTTAAGGAGTTATTGCCCTTGAAACGTTTTTTTTTACATTTTTTGTGAAAGTATAATTACTTTTTCAAAAATCTTCTTCTCTGAAACTACTTGGCCATATACTTAAAAACTTTAATTGAATGTTCCTTAGGGTATCTAGTTTATTGATTGTATTCCAAGATTTGATCCATTCAAAAGCATGGCGGCAGTTTCTAAAAATAGGACATAGGGGTCAAATGAAGTTTTTTGCTTTCTTCTCAAAAACTAAAGCAGTAAGTACAAAAAAAAAGAGGGACGAAAGATACCAGAGGGACAGTCAAACTCATAGATCGAAAACAAACTGACAACACCATGGCCCAAAATAAAAAGACAAACAGACAAATAATAGTACAGATGACACAACATAGAAAACCAAAGACTGAGCAACACGAACCCCACCAAAAACTGGGGGTGATCTCAGGTGCTCCGGAAGGGTAAGCAGATCCTGCTCCACATGTGGCACGCGTCGTGTTGCTTATGTTATTACAAATCCTGTAAATAGTCTAATTCTGCAAGTCACATTCGTGAATAGGGAGGGTATTGTAGTTACGACAATTGGAACATATCCGATATCATCTGTTAAACGGTTATTCCATAACGGTCAACCAACTCGTGATGGCGTCCGTAAAATTTACGAAGGGATGACTTCAACTTCACCAATTGGAACTATTGGTTTAATAGCTTCCTTGTGAGCAGCAATCCTCTATCAAGGAAATCATGATAGGAAACACAAGCCCGGGAATATCGTATCAATTGGGAGATACATACTCCGTATGCAGGCGCTGCTGGAATGTTGCTACATAGAGAATGGAAAGTTCAAAATTGGGAAGCTGAAATCATCTCTTTTGTCGTAAAGTTTTGTTTTCAACCGACCCTCATTGACAATTTCTAGATGTAAGTCAAGATATGAGGCAGACTTAACTGTGTCTGTAGTATCCTTTATCTCTAGTTCGATGGGATAGATTCGTTCAACATAGTCACCAAATTTTGTATTATTTAGTGAGAGAACATCATCTATATAGCGGAACGTAGAGTTTAAGGATATTGCTAACTTCTTATCTTTCTTCCTAAGAAGTTCCTGTATGAAGTCAGCCTCATAATAATAAAGAAACAAGTCGGCAAGAAGAGGGACACAATTGGTTCACATAGGAATTCCGACAGTCTGTTGAAATACACGTCCTCCAAACGTAACAAATATGTTGTCAATCAAGAATTCAAGCATCTTGATAATGTCAGTTTCAGAGAATTTTTTGTTTGAATCAGAGTGATTCTTTACAAAGTAGGACAACACTGACATAGGTGAAAGTGTTAAACAGGTTTAGATCTATGTGTCAAGTAATCTTCAGACCAATAGGACAACATATTGTTGGGTTACTGTCCAGAGTCCAGAAATAGTTAATTTTTATGAAATTTTACAGTTTTGGGTTATGTATTATCTTTGATATTATTATAGAAAGAGAGAAAGTGTAAATGACAAAATTGTTCAGCAAAGTATGATCTACAAATAAGTCAAATGCCTGAAACTGAAATTTCAGGTGAGCGATATCAGGCTCTCGTGAGCCTCTTGTTATGAAGTCACAAGTGACATTTCTGCCCTGAAATGTGCAGGATACACCATCATCATTTACCTTATAAATACAAATATTTTAGTAAAAGGCTTGAAGAAATTCACAAAGATATTTCATAGACCAGATCAAGGCTCTTATCATTATTCCTCTCTGAACATGTATATCCCTGCAGTACAATTATGCCCTAACGTGTTTATTTTAATTGAATCGCTGCATACGCTGATGTATATTTATAATTACCTTCCTTGATTTATCAATCACTAGAACACACCCGCGAAATCGCGGGTATTTAGAGCTTGGTTGAAAGTATGTAAACTGTTATAGGGTGAATTTTTGTAAAAGATTTTATGTCTGGAGAAATTCAGAAAAGGTATCAAACTGATTCATAGGCACTTCGAGACAGGACAATTATTTTAAGCCCTCTCCCTTTTTTCCATATTGTCCGTTATTTTTTTGCTCTCTGTTAAATTGCATGATTTTTGCGTTTCTGTATACTATGAACATAGATCTACATATAATATAAATAAAGTGTATTTGCTATTAACTATCAATTCTATCCACGGCGATTACTGCTATATTATATAGAGAGTCTCTATATATTATAGGATTATAATCATAGTATACATTCAGAATAACGCGAAAACATTGTCCTGTCCCCGAGTAATTATGAAAATTATGTTTAAAGAGGGGAGTAAATGGAGGTATCTGCACGAAAGAACGCGAAATAAAATTGCCATTTCACGACAATTAAAAAATTCTTGCACGTTGATCTTTTTATCGATTTCAAGAAACACGGTGAATAACGAACCTTTTTCACGGCTGCACGTGAAATAAAAAGTGGCAAAACACGTTGCTCGAAAAAAAACCTTTACCTCCTTTTTTAAAGTTTAAAATCGGAAGTCTTGGGTATGACTTAAAAGTCGGTCTGATGACGGAAACAATATCCGGACACCTTTTTCTTCGTTTTTCTCCCAAAATAACCAAAACTGAATAATCATAAGAATGGATGACAAATGCGACTATGCATGGTACATATAGGACACAGAGGCATGATGCTTAATTTATTGGGGAAGGAAGAAAAGCGACACACAAAATGAGGTCTTCTCGTTTAATAGTATAGATTCATATGTGTGTATCTTTATAGACAATGAAGTTATCATCTTTATTCAGTTCACAAGCGGTTTGATTAAAATAAGTAGAACTTGGAAGCAAAGCAAATCAACTAAAAACTCATGCTTTAATTCAAAGCTGTATATTGCATTTATTTTGCATGAAATGTGATTTTCTTCACAGGTGACAATCAAAATTAAGGATGATAACCCACGACCCTTTTTCGTTGATCAATCAATGAGTGTAAATATTCAGGAACATACCAATATCGATGACGGAATATTGGGAGTAGTTAAAGCACGTGACAGGAGAGATGGCGGTGAGATAAACATTTGCAATTGTACTTATTTACTAGACACAAAAAGAGGTACGTATAATATAAGTGTCCGACGTGTTGAAGAAAAGAACATTGGTATTTTAACTATTTAAAACAAGTAAACGGATTATTCTGAATTACACCTACTTTTTCTAATGTAAACAAAACATCAGATACACGTACGTCACTTCATAAGACAACTTGACTCGTCAGATGTATTGTGAACGCCTGGAATTATTATTGATGGTGTTACTCCCTAGGAAATTTAAAAAGATCTTTTATGTAGTAACTGTATGTTACTGTATTTGTAAACGTTAAACGGGTTGTTTTCTTTCTTGAAACGTTTTTCCATGAAAACAGCCCCCTCTCTAGTGTGTCTTATAGGTGTGCTATGAATGCAAAGGTGTTTACCCCTCGCTAACGCTTGAGATTACACATTCATTCAACAAATGTAACCCGAATTAAGAATTTTCAAAAAACTGCAGCCGCCATGAATAAATATTTTAAATAATGTAAGAAACACTATAAAACAAAAAGTGAACAATTCATCTTTGTCGTTCATCCTGTCGACGCGTGTATTTTCACATTGCACATGTTCAAGCTTTTCTCAGACTATGATGTCTATACACTATATCCTTTGGAGGTAAATGCCATTTTAATTTGGAAGAAAATTGTTTATTCATTAATTATTAACATAGACCTTTGGAATAGTTTTCGGTGACTTAGAGTAATCTCAGATAGATACTTTTTTTCTTTTGCTTTATTTTCTTATTTACAGTTTGCAATTAGTTTGGCTTATTATCGATCTGATAAGTCAAGCAATTTCCAACTAATTTTTACAGTTTGCATTCATGTTGTGTTGTTTTACCACTGTCCCAGGTAGGGAAAGGAATTTAGCGTTCCAACTTATGTTTTACCCCGCCTCATTCTTTTGTGCCTAGTCCCAAACCAGGAGACTGTAATTTAGTGGTTATAACTTTTTGCCGTCTGTCATTCTTGTTCTTTTATGTGTTCATACTTGTCACCCCGTTGCCGTTTACTATACGGTATAGGTTGTGATCATTTTTGAAGACCTGTATATGTTTACATGGTTGTCCTTTTCTCTTTATGCCTCATTGACAATTATAAAAGATTTCGTTATTTTTATACTGAGTTAACAATAAATGCTTGCGTTAACAAGGTAAAAGCAATTTTTTAACGAATATTGAAGGATATATTTAATTGGAAATGCCATAGACAATCGTCGTAATCGTAAAATCGTTCCTAATTCATCGTTTGCAACAAGTATCATTCAAATTATTGTAACGGGTAGATCAATGAATGCCAGAAGTATTTGTGAATGTCGTATTCAACCACGTTGAAGCCTTGGTTTTTGGAAGGATTCTTTATTTATTTCCATAAAATATTTTGACACTTGATTTCTCTTATTGCTTGATGACAATATTATTGCTATGGTGTAGTCTATATACAATCTTTTATTGTTTTATGTTTGTGTTCTTTTTTTGAAACAATTAATCATAAGTTTGCGTGAACGAACACCATGCGATAATCAGACATGCTAATATGCAGTAGAAAGTCACATTACGGAGGCATTTCTTACATTTGACAAACTATTAATTTACTATTTAAGATGACATAATTATTGTAAAAGAGACAGGAGTTATTAAGTTCAGAAATAGTAATCACACACTTGATCGAGAAAATGAATATGGTGGACAAGTTATTGTTGGTGTAATAGCAACCGATAAAGCAGAACACCCTAAAAATTCCTCAACAATGGAGTTCAAAATCAAGATTACAGATATTAACGATCAGGTTCCAGTCTTTAACCAGATAAATTACGCATTTGGCATATTTCAGGTACACTAACTAAATACATATTAGGTTGATTCCAAAGTATGTCTCATTAACGTCAACCTAAATCTCTTTTTATAATTAAAACGTTTTTGAATGGAAAACAAATTGATGTTGTTGAACAAATAATAAGGAGAAGTTATTTTTAGAGACCTGGGGCTTTCAATCGATAGCGTTTTCTTTATTTCGTTGGACAGTTTTTCAAACAAACCATTGGCATGCATAAGGCACAGCTATTTGTGAATTCTTTTAACGCATTTGAATCAGAATTTTTTCAAGTGTAATAACAAAAGAAAATAAAGGAAATCCTCCAATTTTCTCCTTTACTAAAAGATGATATACTTTCCATAACAAAACATGAAGAAAGAATATATAATTTCCATCTTTTCTATTCCAATGAGACTTAACTGTCTCGAGGTTCCTTCATAGTTAATTTTTGGAACAGACGTCAAAGTTATATCCAATTTTATTGTAGATCTGTGAAATAAGCACAACTCTTTCTTAAGGAAAGCTAAATAATGAAAATTAAATAATTCCTTGTTTGCTTCCTGTACAAAAGACTTTTTCATTATAGTTTTTAAAGCATGATTGAAAAGTTCGTCCGTGAGTAGGTTTTTTTTTGCACAAAAAAAAGGGGGAGATGAAAAAAGTCAAAAGCAACATTTGAAGCTGATATATCACGTAATTTTAATGACTATTTATTATCACTGACCTATTTCATATCTAGGATAAATGTATGCATATGTATGATCATTTTGTTTTTATTTTTTTTGGCATTTTACATGATTTAATACCCATGTATGAAGAACATTGCGATCTGATAGTTACGTTGTTTGCTTTTAGTATGCGCCTGATGAAACCTATATAGGAGAGGTGAATGCAGTTGACCTAGACGAGAATCCTGAAACACATTATTTTATCAACATAACGGAAAGCAGTGTTGGTTCAGTTGTTAAAATAGATAAATTAACAGGAAAAATAGTCAAGTCTGGAAACATGTCACTTAGTAGTGCACAAAACGTACAAATAAAGGTTGGTCAAATACACATAAAAAAGATAAATCCTTCCAATTACATCTCCGCGTGACTGTTCTTTAAAATTATTACACTACTTTAATTTCATTTTTAGATTAATTCCAGATTTGATATTATCTCACCAAATGTAAAGTTCTTAATAATACGCGGAGAGTAATTATCTGACCAACAATAAAATAGACATAATTGAAAACAAAGCACTTTCCTAATTGTCTTGGAAAATCAAAATAAAGTCCCTGCTTTCATTGCCTTGTCTGCGTAAGATTGAATTAAATTGAAAGGTATGATTATAGCACAAAGTCAAAATTTTGATGCAGCGTATTTTTTACCAGTTGTCCTGGTTTAATTCGTTAAAAGAATGGATAACTCTACTCTTAAGTTAGTCATAGATGGAATATCTAAAATAATTGTTCTAAAAGAAACATCGACAAAAAGAAAATTTCATTGAACATTTGAAAGAAATTTCTTGCAACACTTTACGGTGTAAAGCCTTGTGTTTATTTTCTGTAGGGAAATGTGTTTGCTCAGGATGGAAAAGATGAAAAGAAGTCGCCTAGCCATGCTGAAATCATAATAACAATTCAATTTGATGACAAAAATAATCATACGCCTGTCTTTGAAAAAAGTAGGTAAAAAACGTGAATACAGTATACACACTGTCAATGTTACAGAATTTTAAGCTTGACTATCCAGCCTTTGAAATATTTGGATAATTCTCCTGTCTTCCTTATTTTACAAGCAAGTTTGAACTAAATCCAACAACTGTCTTATCTTTCCAATATGATTAACATTTTCGGTTAATGACTCCATCGAAATTGTATCTTCTTTTTAATTAGTTCTAATAACACATTATCTTTGTCAGGTCTCAAATACAAAGTCATACTTAAATTAAATTCAGCCATATCAAAATGCAGTACTATACTTTGAGACAATTTGTTGTTGGCATTATTTATTCGGTATACATATTCAACATGTTCACTAATTTATTAAACTTTTAAAAAAAATACTATTTAAAAAGGAATACTAGTATATAAAAGACAAAAGAAGAAAATGATGAATGTTGAATGGCTGTCTTATGTATACTTGAAATTTTTATTATTCATTAGGTTTGTATGAACCAAATATTGACTGGAATTCACCAGCTGGTTTTAAGATCGAAGACGTAATTGCAACAGATGATGATGACGGAAAAGAAGGGAAAGTTACATTATCCATTATAGATGGAAACACAAGAGTAATCATTTTGCTCAACATATTTCTATTTAGTGCATATTAATATTGAGTAATCAACTCTAAAATACGATAGTAAAAGATGTAACGGTTGGCCAGTTCTATAGTTACTTCAGTGGTGAATAAATGCTACGTTTTGTGATCATAATTTTGAAATAGACAGTTCAAACACCTAAGAATTTAGTACTGTGCAAATCTGAAACTTCTGTTACAGTATATGGTGCACCTTAGAAATCATGCGCAATAAGTGCTGAAATCAAGTACAACAATAGTAAGAAATACGGTTACTAAAAGCAAGAGAGTACTTAATCTGCTGACAAGAAATCACTATTTTCTCTATAACTCTTTCTACTCGTTCGTTCCTATATGCTTAGAAATCAAAGTTCCTCCTATATAGCACCCAGTGTTGATTCGCGTGGCAGGGATGCATGCATTGCGGAATAGGCTTACCCTGTCCAAGCAATCAGTATCTATTTGTCGGATCTCATGCGATTCCTTTTTTTTTAATATGATTTGTATTTCCTAAATATATTTGAACATCATTAATCTGTGTTTCTAATCTACCTCTGCAAAAACGTTTTTGGATATGATTTGTCACAAAACTACTACAATGCTAAAAGGGTTGTAGTTGGACCGACCAAAGCATCACCACCTACAGCAAACTATGAAATATATCAATTAAAGTCAAACTAAATCAAAGCTTTTACACAATAAAAAATGACATTCCAATGAAACATAATACAGAAAACTGTAGTTGTAATGTTTTCTGTCTGATCATTATAAGATAAAAAACTAAAGTCTGCATTCTGTAGATAATCAGTGTTTAACAGAATACTAGTATTTTGAGAGAAAAATACAGATAATATAAAGGAAAATATTCAAATAGTGCTCGAAAAGTTTGCTTTTCACTCCAATTATGTACAATATTTTAGGAGTTCTTTTCGATAAACGGAAAAGGTGAAGTGCATTTAAGATATCAACTAGATTCCTCTATAGGAAAAGACCCTACAGAAATAGTTACCTTGATCGTAAAAGCTGAGGATAGTGGAATTATTCCAAAGAACAGGTAAATACCAATTGCTGTTGTTTACTAAACTGTCTTTATGTTGATGATTCTTTTTACAACTGCGGTAACAGTAAAAGTATTGACCAATTAATTAATTTTGTTAATAGTCCATTCGGCGTATAGATGTGTTTGGCATTTGTAACGGAAAACCAAACATTTAGTGACACGTATGTATTGCATCCATCAAAAGGAAAATTTGTTTTCAAATAGTTTGCATTCTGGGATTTCTATGTTTGTATATTTATATAGTATGCATTTAAAGAAGCTCTACTGCAAATATTCAAATGACATTACGAAATGAAAAAATACTGCGTGGAAATCATTTTAACCATGTGCAAGCTTAAATATTTTTCAGTAATGCCACTGTCAAAATACGGATTACTGGCAAAAACCCGGGGACTTGTATACAAGGAGCAGAACATTCTAAGCAATTGCTAAATATAGAGAATGAACGTGACAGCTGGTCTTATGCTTTGTATGGACTCGTAGCAGCATTGTGTTTGGCAATATTGCTGTCTTTTACATTTCTATACAAGTAGGTAGCATATATTAAACCTTGATGCACTGGAAAATAAGTAACATGTAATCTTAATGCACCATTGCTTAAGTGACAGAAAGATAAGGAATATGCAATTATTCAATTACATCTAAAATGACTACATTTCATTGGTATTATTGTAGTAAGAGATGAAATACTTGTAAAGCATTGTGCTCCAAATTACTACGGTTGTTGTATTCCCGCCCAAAAGAAGAGGTATTCTTCTGTCCTTTAGTCCATAACACATTTCTGTTAATTATTTTTAGTAGCTTTAAATCAGAGCTTCTTGATATTTGGTACCATGCTTTATATTGGTATTTTTTATCGTTTGAAAAACTTTCGTAACCGTATTTCTTGTTTGACGCATATATCTTTGTTCTTTACCGATGTACGTACTTTTTAAATACTTATTAAATACATAAATGTTTACACAATTGTTATGTTTAAGTAGAATGGCTATACATTTGAATCTGAATTTAAAACAAAAATTTGATAAATAACGATTTGAAAGCACGTTTCTTTATTTAATCTAAAGGACTTATAAATACAGCACATCCGAAATACCATTCGACGTATGACGGCATAATCACTAACTTAAACGTATACCTTACTAATAAAAACTTTTGACCAGTTTATCTAGAAATGAATTCGTATGATAGTTCAATATTATTATCAACATATAGCCATTATGATAATCACATTGTCACAATACACTCATCATAGATACCAGGCTTAAAATTGTGTACGACAAACGTGCATTTCGTCTACTAAAGACTCATCAGTGACGCTGGAATCAAAGTGTACCTTTGTAAGTTGAAACATATAATTTCTGAATTAACAGCATTTGAAATGTCTTTATTTAAAGCTAACTACTTGTTTTATTCCGTCATCAACATGAAGTTTATGTTTACAGGTGGCGGACATCTCCAGTGTCTGAAACAACTCCTCCAACCGGGAAAATGAAATATTTTGACAACCCTATTCCTTATGATCATCTGAGGAAACGACAGCCTGTAGAATATTCGCATTCAAATGAATCGTTTGATCCCCCAAGTAGAAACTTTGATTTCCCAGACGACACAGACCAGTATCAAAGAGTAAGTAACCCAATATGGTTGTCATTATTATTTTTCGTGGAGAATATATAGGAGATATTTTCTTATTTTCCCCTTTTTATGAACACTTATGGGAATGTAGCTTGCTTAAAGCGTTAACGGCATCATTTCATACAAACAGGTTAACACGTTGAGCATTCTTTCGGCTACTGTGAGCATTTATTGATCAATTATTGTTTCTTTTTGTTTATGTATACTGTTATTATAGAATAAGTTTTATTTTCCTATACGAATGTTATAGTTGATTACTTGTTGTTAGTCCACTGATTCAGCTTTACATCTTGGACGTTAAAACAAAACTCAAATCCTTGTAATTTGGTAATGATTTTACTAAACACTTCAAAATAGTTTTATGTGTTTGAGCTTTATTTTTGCCATTTGCTTAGGAACTTTCCGTTTAGAATTTTCCTCGGAGTTCGGTATTTTTGTTATTTTACTTTCTACATCATCAACCAGTTAATTAATCATTTTCAAGTTTTCAATTTATGCTTTTAAAGTTCATAGATTACTTATTCGAATCATTTGTTTTTAAATTATTCCGTCTTCTACATCACGGTCGGGTCAACTGTATTTTTACCTTATTTAATCTAAAAACTTTACTCTCCTGGATACAATTCCAAAGCAAAGTACATTTTTACCAGATTAAATAGATATTGCTATACTATCATGGTTTTTTGTATGTGATGATATAATAAAATCATGAATATTCACGAATTTCACATGAAGGAAAACATTTGACCTGTTTTATTTCATTTTAGATAAGTACTTACGATATGAATTATCGCTAATAGGGGTTGATGTAAGTTACAAGCAATCTCTCAACTTCATTTCACACTGCTCGAGGAGTAGCCTCAATAAAATGTTAACATTTACTTCAACTAAAAGATGCTGCCAGCTATATTTTTGCATTATAAAAACAATTTTGATAGAAATTATGCGAAAGTTTGACAATTGAATAGTAGACAAAGTTATCAAATTGTCAGAAAGGATAGAAAAGAATGTATTTATTAGTGTGTAACTGTGAAATGAAGTTTGGTGTTGCATTTGATTTTCATTTATCTGCATGTAAGTTTTCTAACATTAATCATGGGCACGATAACATGTTGATTATAAAATCATATAAAATATGGACAAATAATGCTCCGGAAACAATACATTGATTTTACAAACAACTCTGTCTTTACAATCCAGAACTAAAAAAACCAAAGCATATATAATTCATTGCTTTTTGTTTTCTACAATTTTGTTGATTGACAATTCTAAATATAAGCTCATCGTAGCTCGATGATCAATATACACCGACTTCTTTAAGTTTTACGTTGATGAATTCGAATATCATTAAGAAATCAATGTTTACGCAATGTTAACTCCCTACGGCAAATTTGAATGTGTATGGACTTTACAATTTGGTTATTTAGCTCCTTACAAAAACAAGCAATTATCAATCATTGGCTTTCAATTTTTGGCAATTGGGTGTAACTGATCAATGAAAATCCAAAAAGAGCTTCGTTATTTTCATTACATACTTTTCAGGGATAAAGAAGATAATTTTCAATCTCGATTTAAATTAATCATTTGCTAACCGACGTTGTATCGCTATTTCATAGGGTTAAGCTTTTTTTATGTTTTGCGAAACTTTATCATTACAACTTCGTTGATTAATCAATGTTGATTACAAAAACTAAGTCGTTGACTGTAATGTAATTGTACATCAAACTCAAATGTATATATGAACTAGTTTGGATGAAAGATGACATGCATACTATACAAACGCATACCTTATTAAAGAATTTGTTCAATCAATTCTTTTTACAAAAAAAATCAAGTCCATTATGTTGAAGCTATATTAAATATGCTAAATATTCCAAAAATCTGTGTAATATACCAATTTAAGGTTTAATGCTCCTTAACTATAGTATATCATTAATATTCAGTCAAATATGCGAGTGGTAACATATTTGCAATGGACGATACAGGTTGTACATATTGTATACATGGTGCACGAAAATCTTAGCTATAAATTGCATGCTGTATATAACAATTTTAGATTTACTGTTTTTGTTTTTAATCTTTTAATCTTTTTCTTTTCTTGCCTTGACATTGTCAGTTTGTTTTCGACTTATCAGTTTGAATATTCTTTCGGTATTTCTCTTTTATATTCATCTTTTTTTTTATAAATAAATTCAATTTCTGGATCTTAAAATATAAAGCCCTATATTTTGTTATTTTTTTTATTTTCATCTATTAATTTTCTTTTGTAAATGCATATTTGGCCTCTTTAATTGGAATTCTGTCATATCATTCAATGCATATTTTGTTTATACTTATTGTTATTTATAGCTATAACTATAAAGTTGTTTTTTTTTTCATATCCAAACTTTTATCGGGCTTTTAATATATTATTCAATAATCACTGACGAGAAAAGAAATATCGTAATTTACTTCTGGTAGTTTCGTACTAGTTTGATTGCCGACAGTAAATGCTGTTACAGTTTGCTATTTCATTACAATTTATCTGGATTAAATGCAACATAATCAAAAATTCAGAAAGGAATCCATAATCTTGTCAAGTTATAATAGTTGACTAATTGCAATATAACAATTTGGTTTCTGCTCTTACAAATTCTGACTCTACATGTTAAATTACAGTTTTAATTCCCTGTTAATAACAGTTATTAATGTTTCTGGAATAACGATACAATGACTGTAAGGTGCGTGAAAACAAATATTTTTGTTTTAGCTTTATTAGGTTATAATTTCATTAATATTGACAATGTTCAATAGTTTTATTGTATAATCTTGTTAAAGTAAAGAGATGTCAATGGGGAAAGTTCTTTCTGAGTCCTATAATCATTTAGTGAAAAGTAAATCAAAATTTTTTAACAGTTTCAAGTGGAACTGAAAGTTTGATGAAAGAAATAATTTGATATTTCACTTTCAGATTTGTTTCATCTTTTTTTTTTTTTTTGCAAGTTTACATATGTTTTTAATTATAGGTTACAGAGCCTGAAGGAGAAGCAAGGTGAGAAAACTAATAATGCATATGGCATTTGTAATATCTTTTTCGTCAGCAAAGTATCGTGTTTAACTTCGCAATACTCCGTTTATAGGATATGGTGCGGTTTTATTTTTGATACTTCATTTAAATAAAAATGTTACGGGTGTGTTTTCCATCGACTGATGTTAATGGCATAAAATCATAAATACTAAAATAAAGAAAAGAAAACGATTGCTACAGACATGATTATATTACTTTATGCAATTCTTTTCGACTCATTTCGAATAGTAATCTTTTACGATGGATATATTCTTCAATGTTGTTCAAATGGTATTGTCTAATGGAAAATGTTTCGTGCATTTTGGGGAAGAGAACAAAGTGTTTGATAAATACATAAATTTAGTTTTCCAACAGGCCACTACCATACGTGTACAAGAATAGTGCACTTCTAAGACGTAGCACAACAGCTTACATCCCTAGTTGACAAGAAGATGGTCGTGTGTTAAAACGTCCTGCACAAATAAACGGACTCAATCTCAAAATGGTTCTTACTACCTAACGGTTAAATTTCAGTTTACCTATGTTAGTTTTTTGTGCTGTCTTCAGTGAAATATCCTCCTATTTCTAAAATATAAAACGGAACTACAACTTATATGTGTTGAGGACACCATGCGTTAATATTTGAGAATTAAGTTTATTTTGAGTTTTTAGGCTCTGTAAGATCCATTCATATCTCAGAGAAATAGTCTTGTCATATTGTGAAAAGGACTATTGTTTTGTCTCTAGCAAAAAAAGGCATTCACCTAATTCTGCGTAATTCTTTATTAATATGAGCTTCCCAATCCATGATTGGGGGATTCTTGCTTTTAAGATGATGCTTTTTATTTGGAATATAATCAAGATATATAACGGAGATTAAATGGGTTTTTTTCAGTTTTAGGAGACCACCCGATAATAAACCTTTACACACTTCAAGGCCGTTATCTTTTGACGAACCAACACCAGATTACCCTGTTTACGAATTTGAAGGAAAAGACCCCAAACCTGCCATCCCGTCTACAAGTAGAACATCCGAAAACTGTTGAAAATTTTATATATATTTCAAATTTCCTGTCTTAAATACCTTCATCACACAAATCATCTCATTTCAGAATTTTTTAGAATTGGTAATTTGATTTCCAATTCTATTTGACTATTGTATTTACGTCGATCTTGATTGTTTATATCAAATTGTTTCCAGTTTGCAGTTCTTATCATGAATAGTATTGATGTATGTGATATGGTGACCATTGCAGGCACACAATCTAAATGTATTTAAACATGCATGGTAAATGTGTTTATAACCTTCATTCAATTAAAGTATTGCATTAATTATAATCATTTACATATTGTTCATATTTCATTATACATTATCTTCAGTTTGAATTATATTGTTTTTACCGTTTCTGACATGAAATGTATTTTACCTTTTAAAATGAACACAAAAACGAAAATATTGAACAATAAATTGTGTATCATACCACAAATCGCTTTTTTAAATAATGTGATATTAAATGTTCTTTCCAAGTGAATTTATGGATGTGTAAAATGATCCGTCCACTCACAAACACTAACTAACACAGAAATAAATGCAGGAAAATTTTTTTGATATGAAGTGTCACTGATACTAGTATAATATCTTAATCTGTAAATAATATCCGCATATTGTGTATAGTTTATATAAGTCCCTTTTGTGGAGTTGAGAAAACTTGATTAGTACATTATAATACAAAATCTTTAGAATGAGTTATATCCCCGCTTAAGATACCCCTGCTTTGTAACGCTTGTGGTATATATTGATGGGAGAGTCCGTCCTACTGCAAGTACGTTCCTGCTTTTGGTCTTTGTTTTAATTCTTCTGTCTAACTTTGGCTTTTGTTTTTAGCTCACCTGACCTGATGGGCCAAGTGATTCAGGCCAGGTGAGCTTTTCTCATCACTTGGCGTCCGTCGTCTGTCGTCGTCCGTTAACTTTTACAAAAATCTTCTCCTCTGCAACTACTAGGCCAAATTTAACGAAACTTGGCCACAATCATGAGTGGGGTATCTAGTTTAAAGACACTGTGACACTTTTACTATGAAGTTTCATGAAAAATAATATCCTAGAACGGAAAGTTTATATGCATTACTATTTTATTCAAAGGTCAAAATATAGGGCTGTGCGGCATATTTTCAACATTTATATGCCCTGAACTTCTAAGAGTTTAAACTTATACTAAAATTCTATACTACCTTTACCTCCATTTTTGAACCTCCTAAGAATTAAAATTTAGGCGCTACCATGTTTTTCTATACTGGTTACATTCCCAAGTGATGTCTCTATGAGATGAAACACAGAGATCATAAATGGGAACCAGTACTTTAACAAATTAACATATCTATGAATATTATATATTTCCCCAAAAGAGGCGTGGTCTGAGAAACAGCTGTATTTACAAAGTGCAACCTATATAGGTTATCTCTATTTAGCAAAAACGAGAACTCTGTAGCTCTCTTCTTGTTCGATAAAAGTAATACATATGCATTTTGAATCTTAATTAAAGGTCAGGTCACCACTCTTAAAAGATGTTAATCTTGGGCTCTTGGGTCCAGGAAAAAAATCTACAAAAAGATTGACACAATTCTTTGATGATCCTTTACCAGTAATGATTTATAAAAAAAATATATAAAAATGTATGTTCATGAAACAGCAGCACGGCATACTTGAAATGTATGTTTTAACCTTGAAATCTTAATATGATAAATGGGTTGAAAGCAGTTAAAATCAAACGAAAGATTACATTTTCAACCACACAGATTCCTTTAAAAAAAGTATTATTGTTGCATTGTTTCATGCATCAATTGTAAACAAAAATACTCGGTGAGCAACTGGCTCCTTGGAGCCTCTAGTTTATTATTTTTTCCAAAATCGCACTTATATGATTTACTTTTGCATGTTTTGCATCTGTTGTTTAATTTTTTTTATTTCAATGATATCTAGGGCTTATTTTGGGATGACATGGACTTATATATATGAGTATGCACATTATACGATCCGCTTTTCCTTCTAAAACCTAATCATAATGTAATGAAACTTGCTCAGAATCTTTACTATTTATTGTTTAGTCTGAATATATATTTAAGATAATCGCGAACTTTGCAAGAGGCTGTGTGTCATTTTATGAACTTTGTTATCTCTAGCCTTTGTTATATCTCTAAACATATATTACCTTCTCTGTACTGTCTGTAAAACAATACGAGTTTATTGTTAATAAAATGCACTTGCTGAGTGTTTTATTTCCATACAGTTTCAAACTGATATACCTAAATGCTTTGTATGACTAATATGTGTGTATATTTTTTTGTTTATATATATATATCATTTTAATTCAAAACAATAAATAAACGTATGTACATATAATACATGATTTTTCTATAAAATAAAAAGGATTGTATTATCTAACTGTTCAAGAAACGTAAAAGAGGGACGAAAGATACCAGAGGGACAGTCAAACTCATAGATCAAAAACAAACTGACAACGCCATGGCCAAAAAATAAAAAGACAAACAGACAAATAATTGTACCTACATGCAAATTACAAAATCCTGCTACTGTGTCATTGTGGGAAGGCTAATATACTTACAGCAGGAGACATCTTTTCATGATTAGATAATAAATAGATTTACTTTCAACATAATTTTGGTTTGGTAAATGATGTCCTTCTTATACTATATAAATACTTAAAATTTGTCGATATCTGTCAAAATTGCAGTTTTGTGCTATCTTGAAGCACTGAAAGTTTTGTGATTTGTTTAGAAAGAAAACATGATATTGAAAGAACCTTAAAGGACAAATATTGAGCTTGGATACTATGAGCGTAATAAAGGTGAATGATACCAAAGGAATATTCAAACTCATAGGTCGAAAATAAACTGACAATGCCATTGCAAAAAAACGAAAACCAACGAAAAGACAGACAACAATACCCAAACCACAACATAGAAAACTACGACTGAGCAACACGAACCCCACCAAAAACCTGAAGTGGTCTAAAATGCTCTGGAAGGATTAGCAGATCATGCTCCACATATGGCACCTGTCGTGTTACTCGTGTAAACTTAAACCTGGTAATAAGTCTGATACGGTAGGTAACATTTGAGGAAAAGAGCACTGGATTGTGATTACGACAGTTGAAACAAAGTTGAGATTGAGAGACTTTATGAAAATTGTCCTGGTGTAAATATAAATCAGGGGGGAATCCGTCCTTACCTCTTTGCTGTTATAGATCATTTTGAAATTAACTAACCTATCTTCCTTTTATATAGCACTGTTCTTTGTCCTGGTTTGACTATAGTAAAAAGTAAAATAACAAAAAACCGAACTCCGAGGAAAATTCTAAACGGAAAGTCCCTAAGCAAATGGCAAAATCAAAAGCTCAAAAACATCAAACGAATAGATAACAACTGTCATATTCCTGACTTGGTACAGGTATTTTCTTATGCAGAAAATAGTGGATTAAACCTAGTTTTATAGCTAGCTAAAACTCTAAAGGTCCTTTCGGTAAGATCAGTTCTTCAAAATTTCTAATAGGTTTCTGATGTTCAAATAGTTTTGTCGCTATCATTACCGAAAAAATATTGATTGATTTTTCTTATCACATTTTATCCCAAATACTCTTGAATTTAAATAGTTTGTGAACACTTCGACTGAAGCATATACTTGGTAAACGGATGTTTTTTTAAAGTCATACGGTTTCGAATAACAGCAAAGAAAATGACGAGTTAATCAATTGAAAATAAATTTAATGAGTTATGCACTAAAATTAGGCTAATAATGCAAAATAGGTATGAACATTCTAATTGTTCTTACACGAACGCATTGGTAGAATGACACAATTACACCGAATGCCTACGTGTATAGCCAACATATAGACCAGATTATAAAAATATATTTAATCCATAACTCTGAGACTGATAATATACAATCGCAATAATGAGGTCTGGATCGTATGTGTTGATTCCTAGTCCATATAGGGTTTGGATTTTTTTTAACAATGCAAACAGATAGATGGTATATTCTCTGTAAATCAGCCAGATTTTTCTAAATATACAAATGACATTCATCAAGCTGAACTCATTATAATACTAAACCAAACATTAATACTGACCAAAGTCCTTTTTAGGACCTCGAGGTGCAATACCACCATTGATTTTCCCCTATTAGTCTTTGATAAATTGGCACCTTTCAAAAAATTGTGCAGACTTTATCTTTGTTTCAAATAAAGAAATACTAAGCATGAGTAAAGTTTTATCCTGTCCATTACTGCAGTGAAAATTTCACATAACATGTCATTGCATATAAGGTAATAACCATCACTGGAAGTAAACCAATAAAATGTTCACCCCTTGTTTCCTGTTAACAAGTTTTAGTAACCATGTAACCTGAAGAAACAGCAAATAAAAAAAAATTGTGTTTTTAAACACCCAAGATATATGTTTATGACTCTGAAATTTCTTTCTGCAATTTTTGGAGATGCAGGGTTAATTTCCTGTCAAAATCAAGGGATTATTTTTCGTATGAAACCGGATGTGACGTACTATAATTTGGAAGTATTACGCCTTGATATTATAATTGCACGTGGTAATGTTCATACCACAACTGATGATAAATGGGACTTATCCTTTCCTATTGACACTTATCTTTTCTTTTATGCTGCTGTTCCGTTGGAACCTTTTATTTAGATGTACATTTCTCTGTTGGTTCTACAAGTTCTAGTGATTTCAGTTGAACGTAATATTTTCATTTCTGAATTCTGGTTTAACGGTTTTATTGTTTATAAAGCTATCAAATTTAGGAGTTATCTTTCAAATCTTTCGCATTTGGTCAAAAAATGTAATGGTATAATTTGTTATTTTTTTGTGCTTTTTTATCTATCATACTGTTTTTGGAGTCAGGTACTTTTTATGGTTTATATTATATGTTCTTTTGTGTACGTTTCGCTAGTTTAATCTTCTGATTGAGATCTAACAGGAGGGGGTTGATATTTCATGTGCATGTCTGATGTCAAGAACCTCGTCAGCTACTGTCGTTAGCAATATCTTAGTGTTTTCAGTTATTTGGAGAGTTGAGTGCTTTTAGCAAATCTTTGGTTGTTTCTGTTAAATTTGTTCACAGTTTTAATAGACTATTTATGTCTTCATGTAAGAACAATTTTATAATGCGGAAGACTGTAAGTTGCGCTGTAGATGAGTTTGAGCTATTTTTGCAGTTGGGTTACTGTCTCCTTGGCCTATACTTTATATCTTGTTGTATTCATATATCGTAGAAGTATTGAGAAACTTGATTTCAATATAAAATTTGTTGTTACTGCTGCTTTATTTGTGCAAACGTATTAAGACTTTATTAATGTGAAATGATATACAAATAACATACAAGAAAAAACAAATGTAAGTTTTACGGAATAACTAATGACCTAGGGCTAATATTCATTCATCACTTCTTTCCTCCCTTTAAACTGTCCTCAACACTTTGACTAGGTTTATATCTCTTTGTTTCATCTTTATTTTTGTTCTCTGTTCCTTCTGGTTTGTCCTTGTGGATAGATTCTTCTGTTTCATTTGATTTTCCTGAACTTTTTGGCATGCTTGATTTGGAATCGTGATCCTGTTTTTGCTTCTGTTGATTATCAGAACTGGTATTGGGTTGATTATTACTTCCCTTCTTTGTTTCTTGTGTATGCTTATTGTCCGGCGATTTGGTAATTTTTGAAGATTTTCCACTTGTTTCCTGATTTGATTTGTCGCTGTGCTCGACTTTTTCTTTGTTTTTCACTGTAACATCTGAAATGTGATCTTCATTTTCTTCCTTTTTCTGTTCATGTTTTTTTATTCCAACTAAAGCACCGTCGTCTTTTCTTTTCATTGTTGTTGGTTTCTGGAGAATTTGGTTTGATTGATCTTGTTTGTTGTCTAGTGTTTTATCTTTTGGAGAATCCGTTTGTGTCTTTGATTTATCGGTATAAATGCCAGCTGCAGCTATCTTTTTGGATGTCGATTGAATTGCATCATCGA